GCAATTGACTACTCCGAAGTCGGTGGTGGGCGATTGACGGCCTTGTATTGTCGGAAAGGGGTTGACCGCGATAAAGAGAGTCTAGAGGCGAATTGCTGGGGTAAAGTGGACATTCTAGTGCAGTAGCACGAGTTTCTATCCATGTGAGCAGACTGACAGTCGATCAGTATCTATGTGCAACGCCCTCACAGTAGCGTTGTGAGCGTAGAGCGATTGCTCCCCACGTCTATATCACATCGCTCTCCATCTAGATCCGGCCTTCAACCCCAAGCTTGACAGAAGATGGAAGCATAGTTGAGTTTCGGCCTGCTGCCAATAACCAAAAGGAATCCGTGCTTTGCCTAACTGAGAGCACAGATGCCAATACAGGCACTATCGAGTGTGGCAAAGTCAACTTGAAGCTGACTCTGATTGGCAAGATCAAGCCCCCTTGTCAGGTCTCACATGGAGCCAAGGTTGCGAGATGATGTAGTCTTTGATAGGTCACAGTCTCGTGCCAACGATTGGCAGACACTGAGAATATGTACAGTGGATGGAAGGTTGTGGCTCACATCGTAAAACCCATGATCAAGTACGAAGAGTCGGGACCTCTCAGCCACACCTGGTGCAGTCAATCCTACTGGCTCTCTCACCATACATAACCATGCTCACTCGTGTCAACTATGTTGACTGACTCGAGGTTGAACTGTACCCAGGTCGCACCGGGAAGGCATCACCCGACAGGGACTTCCGTGTCGAAGTGACAAAATTAACAAAAGTTCCACAGGTCATGTTATTGCTCTTTACTGTCATGACTTTGACCTATCGTACCCAATAGATCGGTTCGAGCACAGCAATAATCCAAGTCTCGTAGATTGATTGAGCGAATTATGGGGCTGGCATGATCGGGGCGACATCTGTACTGGATCATTGCTTACGAATGGCCTTATAAGCCAGCGTCTATTCGATGTAACGTAACCGATACATCCGTCCAATGCTACGCACTTCCCCGGTCTGAGATCCATAAATTCCCGATGAGGTATACGTCTCATAGCACCGGCGGGCCTTGAGATTTGCAGCAAATCTGATTCGTAGGCGCTGATGATTCGAAATCAGACACAAGCTGGGAAATATGGCGGCTAGTCACTTTATACACCGGCTAGATCCCTGTTGTTCAGGTGATGTGTCTCTGGGACCCTCTTATCAGAACAGGGCCGCACAGATCCCTGACTCACACCGTGAACATGGGTCAATCGAAGACCAGGAGACGAGGAGTTACTGGTCTCAGAAGCTATTCCCGTCTCGCCCTCAGATATGCAGTGAGCAAGTTCTCATGACACCAACTCCAAATGATTATATGAGTATTGTAGACCGAATACATTATCCTCGTGTCCTATATCTCGGAAGAGATATCTCGGAGGAGACGGGCCTCTGACGGATGTCCGAATCATGATCCATGTTGGCCTGATGAACCACTTTCGGGTCAGTGGCCAAAGCTTATAGGACAGGGTAACATTAGCTGATGCCGTCGATCCGTCGTCGCTGCAATATCAGTATGCAAGGTCATGGCCACCAGCTTAATTAGTGATGCCAAAAACATGGCCACATGATCGAGCAGATGGGCCAGCCGGTGGACGTCCGACTCCTTTACCGGACGTTGAGCCGGTCGACTGTGCTCGGGAGTCTAAACTAAGTAGTAGACCTGATCCAATGAGACTGAGGAGGAACGAAGTAGTTTTCTGCAAGCAAACCGTGTTCCCGCCTACTATTGGAGCCACCTAATCTCGGGACGTCCGGCATCGGCGCTCTGGGGGGGGGTGCAATTGCCTGTCGTGGTGGACCGTCTTAGGGTCGGCTAGATATTATAAATTCTCCTTCCTTTCGCATCTGTGCCGGAGGATGGTGCGTCCTTCATGACTCTTTAAGGTTGAAGGAGTATTGATGGCCAAAAGATCTCCTGTTAAGCCCTTTCGGAGGGCCGATCCCGAGCCCTAGTCCCTGTGTTCGCAGAATCTCAACTCTATCGCCAAGTGAGTAATGATATACAATCCTGCGGAGACTGTCATTGGTTGCATTGACCGAAAATCTGACCCATCTAATAGATGCTTCGACCTTGCCGGCCAGTTCTCGAAAGGAAAGAAGTGGATGCCAGCATTCGCAGACACACGTCGTGCACCCTTACTCTCGGTTGGAGACAATACTCGAATTACAGTCCTTTACCCACGTGGAGCATTCCCTGATGGGACTGGACTTGGGTTACGGAGCTGTGTAAAGGGTTGCATCTGAAGGTGTGGTCTGTACACACATCTCTCCACTCAGGGCGACCGAATCCCGCTGCTTGCCGCTGCGCCGACGGTTGCCGCGCTCTTGAACAAGAAGCCATTACATGAGTGTTTCAATTGCTGGGGCCAGATCTGGAGACCTTCTATCCAGGGTCATGGTTATAAATAACGGACACTGCGCCGGTTGTACAGAAGATTGAATTGGCAGGAAAGTCGACAGGATGAAGTTGGTTTCTCTCTCTCTCTCTCTCTCTCTCTGCGATGAAGCAAAACAAACAAACAAACACGGTTGTTAGTGAGTCCCGTCATGTGTCTTCCATACCCGTTTAGGAAGGTGCTTTCAGGCTCAGTCAACTCGGGCTCAGCTCCCGCGACACTCCAGCAATCCTCGTCTACAATCACATCATTCGATCTCAACCTCGAAGACACTCAGTCTCTCCGGCTTTTTCTAATACGACCCTCCCTTCTCCGTTCTCTGTCTACTCGATTTTCAATTCCTGTCTCTATCATGGCCATGGCCACTCGGGCTACTATCGCGGTTGGGTGACCATCTGCTGGAGCCGATCGACTGCCAGTGTCCCTGCCATACCCAGTTTGTCTGCTTCTATTGGCGGACTTTGACTGCGCAATGGAATGACCTTGGATTGTCTGGACTCTGGACGATCAGCTGGTAGCTGCCTTTCTCTCACCAGCGATTGGCTATAGGAATTGTCGGCAATGACCGAAGCTTGCCGACTGGTGGCGGTTAATTTATCAGCCTGATGAACCAGCTCGACCTGGCCGCCGACAGGTACGGCTCGATAAGCACGAGATACTATGCCATGCCCTGAGGACTTGAGATTACGGATCTCTCCGACACAATAGACTGCGGAATTAAATGCCTCATATCTCGAATCATGGGGCTCGCATTCCATCATATTAACGTTAAACTATTGACACATCATCATTTATTTGTTCGAATCATTTGTTCGAATCGAACGATAGCATGTGAGACATGGAGTCGGATGCAACCACATTATCATGCCAGTGGGGAACGCTTAGGTTCCCAACTTGGCTTAGCCGACCAACACTGATTGAATTCATCGGGCTTTCTGACTGGATCATCTGACATGACCCCGAAAACAGAGAAGGCGAAAGCGGTCGCTCGACCATTCTTCCATTCCCCCACAGCGATAGTTTGCTGCTCTCGTGGGCGTTTCTACGAGGGGTCTCATAGACAGGTGTCGTTTGTGTTCTTTTTTCATCCCGTCCCCGCTTTTTGTCTTCTGCCAATTGACTTTTCTCGGGGTCAGCAAGCGAGATGGGTCCTAGAACGAACGGAAGACGGTGGTAGCGCTACGGCAGTGGTTGGTTGAATTGCGCCTTTCGCTCTAGAACTGGCGCTGCAAGCCGATGCGCTCCATGCCAAAAAGGGTCTACGGCCCGTGAGGCCGAGGTACAATGGTCGCTAGCTGATGCTTGACAGCGCGCAAAGCACGGAATGGGGTTGATTCGATGGGCTTCTCTCCTTCCCTCCGACTCCGACGAACGGTTCTGAATATCTCAACTTCTCCAGATGCGACCGAGGATACGACAGTTATTCGCACCAAAGGCAGATCAGCAATCCCCGGCCCTGGGCTGGAAGAGTTTACGATGCTAGATTCGGTTATCATAGTGCTTGGTTGGCGCCAGTCCTCTTGTCACGGGCTCATTCCAAGACAAGCCTTGAACAGACAACACAAGCTCCACCGCACTTAGAACACCGACCGTACTCGTACTACTGGGACCCACCCAATTTGTGGCCTTAACTCGGGTGCCTGTCGATTACGGCCAAGTTATGTCTCTCCTTCACTCCGAATTGTCAACTCAGGACCAGATATGATGTGATAAGAGCCATGCATAGTATGATTCTTCGACATTCGAACGGCTCACAGGGGCTTTAGTGGGCCATGAAGGAGTTCCACCATGGTCCTGATCGCTCGAATCAGTACCGAGGATCCCCCACGGGATACACTACCAGGGAATGAACCTGGGCGCCCTGGCACCAACAACGATGGACCTGCATCGGATATACTTTGTTGGCTGAAAACCTAGTCAAGGATAGGATGACGCTAGCTCTATAGCCTTGCAACTGCCATCGAGAACATCCGCTGGTAGCCGCTTTGGCAGGTGCTCAATGTTGCATTGCAGCGAAGCCTGTTTGCAGTCGGAGGAATTATTGCTGTGAAGGCACCAAACCAACCTTCCTTACGAGCTGATCAGGCCGTTGTATGGCTTCCATGCCCATCGCAGGTTAACCTGGATGACCCATTGACCCCGCGATTTACGGCAGTGGCCTTGGCTTTTGCTGGCATCCACCATCACCAAAGTTCTTGAGCGACAGTCAAGCATGTAATAGCGATCGTGAATCTTAGAAAAGGCCAACAAAGGGGTAAGATGATCCAAGGCCTGCACTAGCGAGATGAGGAAAAGAATGCATGAACGGCCGTGGTTATCCAAGGTGTTCATCCCCGACAGATCATGGATAACTTACTCACCTTCTTATCCTGGAACTCCTTCCGATACCGATTTAGGGTACATGATAAGGACTGCCGCCGAACAAATCATTGGACATAATAGGGCCTGTCTTAATTTCCCACTGGCGCCAACAAGCCCAAACCAACCCCCTCCCTCCCCCCCCCCCCCTTTCAAAGAGGCGGAATTTACTTTGAATCCGGTTTACGTCGGACCTGCACGGTAAAAGAGCACGAAGTATCATAGCGCTTGCCAATCAACCCCTCTTCCTCGGGCTGGTGAATAATATTCCTTACGATCCATCGGTTTGCTTTTTCTGTTTTCTAGAAGACCTGCAGGGTCATGGATTGGCCGGTCGCACCTACTTCCGCCACTTAGCGTTTACCCCAGGTCAAGACCGGACTGGAGCGGGACCCATAACCAATCTAACAATCTATCTGTCGTCAATTCTCAGCAAGCGAGAACAATCGCATTCCCAGTCTTGGTACGCCGACTGTTAAAAAGGCCGATCTTTCTCCTCCCCTCTCTCCACCAGCCCTGCTACTATTGATGGCCCGCGCGTAATTCCCTCGTCCCTCCCTCAATTGTCTTTCCAACGCAACCAATTTCCCTATTCATCGATTGACCAGATTGACCAACTACGGCGCACCATCCAAGGCCATGACTAGAACCACCGACGAGATCAAGTATGAGGCTTCCTCATGGGAGCACAAAGGTGTCACCGTGGCAGACGATGGCCGGAGATTAGCGTCAAATCCCGATGCTTCCCGTTCCAAAGGACGCATACGACGATCGATGACGGCTTGCCATACTTGTCGCAAGCTTAAAACCAGATGCGATTTAGATCCGCGCGGCCATGCATGCCGCCGCTGTCTATCCTTAAGGTCAGAGGCAGATCACCACCCGTTGGACCATTCTAGTGTCCCTATATTCCTGTAATTAGTCTGGATTGAAGAGCTTCCGACGTCTGACAGTTGTCAATTCCTACAGGATCGACTGCAAATTACCGGAGACGACCGATCGTTTTCAAGATAATGCCTCAATGTGGTCGGATGCGACGTCCGCGATTCCTTCGATTGAGGAGCGCTTGAACTCGCTCGAAAGAAGCATGAGAGAGATGACAAGTATGATGCGCCAAATGCTGGATCAATCGCCAGTAACCCCCACTGGCATTCCCCCATGTTGGACCAGAGCTACCAATGTCGATGATGGCACGTCGTCGGAAGGCAGCCCATCTTCTCCTTTTTTGCCCAAGCCTGTCCGGCTCATCCAGGACCTACAATCGGAATTCTTTGGCGAGACCGAAAACTCGTCGTACATGAGCGAGGGCATCGCAAAGGGTGGCTTAGACTCTAAACTATCACTCAAATTGTTGCAAATGTATGAACCATCTGCCCTCCAACCTCGGTTCCTTGACAATTGCTGATGCTCGAAGTAAAGATTCGTGGACAATTTCGGCCCTTATGTCTCCATATATAATCTCTCGGATATACAGAACGAGGCGCGGAATCCTGATTCCTTGCTATATAATACTGCTTGTCTTCTGGCATCCCGCTATGTTCCCGGCGTTCCCACATCTGTGGTACATACGATATACCTCCAAGTGCGACATGCGGTGGTAAATCTTCTGTGGGATAAGCCGCCACTTCGCTATGAGTCTCTCCAAGCTCTTGCGCTGCTTTGCCTCTGGCCTGCGACTGTACAAAAGGAGCCCCCAATGGACAGCTGGCTGTTGAGTGGGGTTTCAATCAACCATGCCATCATCTCCTTTGATTGTCTCAACTATGGGCCTACGGAGACCATGATCGATAACGAGACCGCAGCACAGCTGCGGCTCTGGAATACTTACTGCTTGACGCAGCTTCAGTGCGGTCCATCCGTCCTATTAGATGGTTCTTCCCGCTAATTATGCATAGTTTTGCGGTCGGCAACGCTCGACCTTTTCACATTCAGCCACGCTATCTTGATCATTGCCCACGGATTTTGGAGCACCCAGGTGCAACTCTTGATGACGCCAAGGTAGTGGCAGAGATACAGCTATACCTCATAACACTACGTCTCCAGAGCAATGGCGGCCGAATGCGAGTCGCCGATACCAAATTCGAGGAGATCGAGCGGTGGAGGGCCGAGTGGGCCCATCTCTTCGGTAGGTCCTGCATATCCTCGAAGGATTGGGTAGCTATGAAGGAACTAACGAGATAGCGAACGCAGCTGGCGAACAGTTCACCCTCGAGCTAAGCCTCTGGTTTTGTCAGATCCTTCTTTACCGCACCTCCATGCGGTTCAGCCCGGGCTCTGACACTCTCGCCTCCGAGGTCCTGCAAACCTCCCGCCTGATGTTGTCGAAGTTTCTTCAGATCCGATATTCTTCCGCGCTCAGCCTCGTCGACCAGGCGTATTTCATGGTCGGCTATGCCGCCCTCAATCTCTGTGATTTCAACCTCATGGACCCGCTCATCGAGCAGGTACAGATGTTCCTGCTCCATCTGTCCCCCAACGAGGATCACATCGCCTATCGCTTCTCCTGCATGATTGTCGAGTTCAAGCGGCGATGCGCCGAGGGCAGCGATCCAGCCACCACAGCCGCGGCGGCCGCGGTAGCAGCGGCGACTGCCGCCAAGGCCTCCTCTCCGCTGTCATCCTTCGGGGAAACGCGGAAGATGAGCATGGAGCAGACGGCATCTTTCCTACCACCCATGGTAGATAATATGATCGATGGCTACGGATTCGAGCAATTGATGCCGGAAGTCCTCCCACAATCATTTCCCGACGGGATGCTCAATGAGATGGCTGTCGCCTCCGGGATCCCAGGGTATCGGTCGGCAACGCTATGAAACCATCAGCCAGCCAGCCCAGCCCAGCCAGTAGTCTACTCCGCAAAGAGGGGGAGGGCGATAGGTCACGGACTAGACTTTATCCCCCAACCTGGCAGTCTCCTCCCTCGAATTGATAATGGCACTCATGATGACGTACGATGAACAGAAACAATCCGTTCTTTTAGGTAAAAAATTGCACGGGAAAAAAAATCAAATATCTCCGAGAAATTTAATATGTACAGTACACTATATACCATATCCATAGAAATCATTTTCTTGCTTTGCTCGAGAATTTGTTTAGGTACTCCGAGTGGAGGGGGTTTGGAGTTGTTCCATTGGCACCTCGGAGATACTAACTGCAAGTTGCATTGTCACATGCAACCGACATTGCACCCACTTCCGCGGAGAGAGAGAGAGAGAGAGGAAAGGCAGGCAACCTTGAATCTTGGAAAGATAAAGCCAACCCAATCAATCTCTCTCGGTCTCCGGAGCTCAGATAAGGAAATCCCAGGGACATGACGCCATGTCGGGTTCTTATCCTACCCCCCTCCCCCCTGAATAATGAACCAGCTAAGCGATATAGTACTGTACCTGATTGTGTTAGTTTTTTCGGTGACCTTGGATGGAGAGGAGGAGGGGTGCCTGCACTTTCTCTTTCCTTGGACTGTACAGTACAGTGCAGTTCCCTGCCAAATATAGTAACTATTGTACAGTTAGTACAGTACATACCTACTAAACTACAAAGGATGTAACTTACGGAGTCCTTGGCTTGCGGTCCGTTCCGTGATATCCGTTGCTGTCAGTGCACCCACCACCACCACCCACCCCCCTACGCTCTGGGACCTTAGGTACATACATAGTGTAACATACAGCTCCTATCGATGTGAGTATGGACTGATGATGACATCAGGGAAAACAGGATTTTTAGGTCCGTGGCTTCATTGATTAGCGTTGTTTTTCGTTCTGTCCGATTTTGAGCCGGTGGAGAGAAAACAGTTTATCTTAGTGCCACTTTTCCTGCCCTGGGGATTTATTGTTAATGGGCTTTTCTAGACAGTCATCCTGGCTAGTTCCCTTCGCAAAAGACTTTCCCCTCCGTTTTTTTGTGATTCTGGGAACCTGGACACCTTGGCCCGAATCATACCCCCCCTCTTCAACTCTTCATCCTCTTGTAAACCCGCAATTGAAAATGATGCAAAAAGATTCTATATATGCGAAGAGCAACCTCCCTAAGAACTAGTTACAGATTGAGCTCCCGCTCAATTTTCCGGTTGGAAACAGAACCCTCGGTAACCCGCTTGCCATCGGTACGGGGACCGAACCATCCGCGTTGACGATTAGGGTGGTGCAGGTGAACACCTCCGTGACCTTGGTGCCGGCTTGAAATCCCGTCCCCGTCAAAGAGAGGGTGTACGTCTTGCCGCCGCTGCCCAAGTTAGAGAGCACAGTGATGATTTGCGTGCCATTAAATCCTTTTCGCATGGCCAGCGTGGTGGTGTCGCTGTAGATCGGGTAGTTCTGCAAGAACATTGGGAAACACAATTAATAACGGAAAGGGGCTTGCTTGATTGCCAAGGTTTGAGCGCTGAGACGCACCTTATAAGTCAAGTACTTCGCATCTTGGCTGATCGCATGGCTGCGGATCTTGTTGGCCGTCGCAATCGAGGTGTAGAGGGGGCCGGTGGTGGAGTAGCCTGACAGCCAGGTCGCTTCGCGGTTGAGAGGGTCGTTGCCCCCGCTGTAATGCTGTTCCTGGCCGGCGTAGATGATGGGGATCCCGTCTGCGAGGATAGTGAATGTAGCCACATTTTTGGCCAGGGACGTGTCATTTGTGTAGCTTTTCGAGAGGTGGTGGGGTTAGCTAGGTTCTAGGGGTGGACGGCGTGGCATGGAGGGCTTGCTGAGGGGCAAGTGATTGACTTGACTTACGAGGCGAAGCGTGGGTTATCGTGGTTTTCAATGAATGTTCCTAGCAGTGTGGAGTCTGGACAGTTGTCTTTGACGGTATTGATCATGTTGTATAGGTCGCTGATGCTACCCCCTGTTGACTTGAATGCTCTAAGTAGAGGATAATACCTTTGGTGAGTTAGCATCTTCAACTTCTTACTTCGAAAGTATGATAACCAAGGCGCATACATGGGATAATTCAGGACTCCGTCGAGGTAATTCTGATACGGGCAGGTGTATGAGGCATCGCCGTCGAGAACCTCCCCAATGCAATATACACCGGCGGCTTTGTTGTAGCCCGGCCAGAAGTCTTTCTGGACGTGTCTGACTGTGTCGATGCGAAGACCATCGACTGGGATTATCAGTCATCCATGTTTCATGCCGCAACGGATATGATATTAACATACTGGAGTAGTTGGAGACAAGCGACTTGACCCAGTCATACCATAACGTCTGTACGTCACTGCGGGTTGTGTCTAGATCAGGGAGCGAGACCTTGTTATCGCCCAGCCAGCAGTTCTGGACATTGGTTTGGTTGTCATAATTGGTGATGGCACAGTAGGGATGGAAGTATTCTTTCTTGTTGAAGGGCTTGAATACACTGTAGTCAACGGAGTCACCTGCTCCATCGTAGCCCTGAATGAATGCCGTCAGCATTTTTGAGTCTGATAGCCTGGCCCCACTAGCATGAGGGTTCAGGGTCAACAAACCATGTGGTTGGCAACGACATCAACCATGAGGTACATGCCACGCGCGTGAAGAGCCGAGGCCAGAGCCTTGAGATCATCTGCAGTTCCATAATGAGAATTGAGGGAGTATCTTTCACAATAGGTGAGCGCCTTTTCACACTAACGAGGGCGAGAAGCTCACACGTCTTGTTGCCAGTATCCGTGGTATGCCTGGCCGTAAGGGGTGTCCTGAGGAAGCTGCGCTGTTACTGGAGTAATCCATATGGCTGAGAATCCCATGCCCTGGATATAATCGAGCTGATTGATGCCATCAGTAAAGTAAACGCCATGTCGAGCTCACCAGAGTAGAGGTAAGGGTGTGAGTAGATTTACCTGGTTGATGATGCCACGCCATGTTCCACCGCAGTATCTCTAGGTAAACAAGTCAGCCTCCCATCCCCAGCTAAAACTTGGGCACCTGTCAAACATACCCCGATGCTTGTATCACAAGTAGCAGTGGTGGAATTGTCCGTACGAGCAAATCGATCGGTAAGCAAGAAGTAGATGGATCGGGAGCGCCAATCGGCCGGAGTCGCAGCGAATGCGGTCGCCGCGACCGTGAGCAGTAATAAAAGAAGGTTCATGATGATATTGTGTATAATCGCTGCTGTCAGGGTGTTCTATTGACTGGGCTGGATTGACATGCTTTTATACTTCACCGAAACGTGCACTGCCGAGTCAAGTCAACCTGAGTCTGTTTCACGACGGCCCATCCCGACACTGTGATTTGTGCCAGTCATGAAAGTGGATACACAGTAGCTGACCTTTCTTCAAGTTTGAACCCTTCATTTCCTCCTGCAGGATTCTTATGATGGAAGATTAAAGCAGTGCCCAAGGACCTCTGAATGTTGGGGTCCGAAATCCTTGGTCTTGTCGGGGATGGATGGTTTGGTGAGTTTGGTGAGTTTGGTCAGGGGGACGAGGAAATCCTCCCTGCGTAGCGGCAGGTGACTTTGTCCTTGTGCTTCCTTCCTTTTCTACCCATCGCCCAGACTCGCATTGGACCCGCCAAGTGTTGGTATGTTCTTCTTTTGTTCTTCTTTGAGTCTTCAGGGCTTGAATTGTTGATGATCAGCGATGTTATGGTAGGTTTTTTTGTCCGGACTCCAGAGTCTCGGCGAAGATTGCTGGCGGATCGTCCGCCCGACCGCAGATCGCTTCACACAAATATAGTTTATTCAACAGAACGCTGCTATAGTTACTCTCATCATAGACACATAAGGAGTCATCATTCACCGCCATTACCACTCCAGAACCCAGTTCTCAGCCCATGCACCGCTTCTCGTTACATCCTGCAGACCGCCAACATGCAAGATATGCGCCGTCGAGTTATATTGAACCTTCGACACCTGTTTCCCGTTCAATTTCACCGATGAGGGTCTCTGTTTAACTCCCAGCACCGTCACATTCGCAAGTGGGTTCTTTTCCGCCCAATCTCCCTTCGCCGAAACGTGCAGGCTCGAGCGCGATGCCGAAAAGCCAACATTCAGCGTCGTGTTGGGGACAACGCTCACCCCGTCATCGAGGTAGAGTTGTCCCGATGCGACACCGTCACTATCAAGCGCGGCTAGCAAGGACCAAGGGGACTTCCGGGCCTCACGAGTAGTCAATGCCGGCTCCTGGAGAGGAAGAATACTGCCACCGCGTACGTAGACTGGAATGTGGCCCAGTGGGGCCGAGATTGTCGTGTTCACGCCCGCCTCTGCATCGACGACCGTCTGCGTATACCAGTCATACCACACTTCTCCATATGCCACTCCGGGAAAGACACCATTCACTGTATCGGCTTGCGGCTCGAGCACGGGTATGGTCATGATAGAAGGGCCAACCAAAAATTGAGTATCGACGCCAGCCAAAGTAGGATCATTCGGAAACTCCCAGGCGAGCGCACGCATGACCGTAGATCCAGTGCTGTGGGCGAGATGGAATAGGGTATAATAATAAGGCAATAGAGCATAACGAACTTGCATGGCAGTTTTGGACGCCTCAATGACCGAGGCCCACTGATATGGTTCTTGCGGGATGGCAGAGAGTACATTGTGGTTTCGGTAGAACGGGAAGAAGGCCGATAACTGCATCCAGCGATTGCAAAGCTCTTCGTCCGTATTTCCGTTGAATCCGCAAGTATCGACTCCAAACATCGGGATGCCAAAGAGGGAGAAAGAAAGCGCCTGTGCGATTGAGAAATACATGGAGCCCCACTTCGAGATATTGTCTCCGCCCCAGTGTCCAGCCCACTTGCCTGAACCAGCAAAAGTCGAGCGCCCAATGATAAAGGGACGCCGCTTACCGGACCAGACCTTGAGCAGACCTTGATAGGTTGCATTCAGGCCTTGGTGACCGAACAGACTGTGGACATCGTATTCCTGTACCCCATCAGAGTGGGTAGAATTCGGAGAGATGGCATGAACACTCAAGTCGTGGCCAGTCTGCACATGATTGATCACGTATGGTGGGTAATTCACATCACGCACACCAGGTGTAGGTGTCGTACGCAGGTAGGATGTAGAAGTGGACGATGAGGACCCGGCTGAGGCTGCCTGACTGGCCGCCCCGGCTGACGCAGCGGCTGCTTCAGTGGCATTGGTGATGTTGAAATACTCCGGGTAGTCATAGACGATGTTTCCAGGCTCACCAGGAAGCAGGAACGGCGGATGCACCGGGTTCAGAGTGAGGTTACCGGTCCCGCAGCTGCCCACGCAGAATGAAGAGACCTCAGCCATATCGTACCACACCCCATCATAAGCCACATTCTCGGCCCACAGAACAAGCTCATTGGCCCAGAAGTCGGTCGCTTTCGGATGGTGCCAGTCGGGATACACAGTGTACCCAGGCCAAACAGCGCCGATGTATAGACTGCCATCGGGATTTTTGATGAAAACATCATCTGCAGCGCCACGAGTATATGTGTCGTAACTAAGTTTCCGGTTAGCAAGAATGAACTAGTCGAGAGCTGGATTAAGCGACTTACGCATCAGATGCATTTTCAGGGTTGGGAATGTACAGCGCCGCATCGACAATCGGCACGTAGTAACGCCCACTGTCATGAAGTTGACTGAGAAACTTTGCACCCTCACTGTAAGAAAAGCGATGTTGATCATTGTCGAAGTCGCGATATCCATGCATGTAATCGATGTCGGTCCTAGAAACACACATCAGCAATTCTGCCCGTCAAACAAAGGGCAGTACACGACAAACCAAATATACTCCAGGGGAATTTCGAACTTCTCGAAGTTAGCAACAACTTCTGCAAGTTCAGACCAGTTATTGTAGCCCCAGCGGCATTGATGGAAGCCGAGGGTGCTATACTGCTGCATGGCTGGCAAGCCCACGGTGCTAACTTGATACTGCTTGGTCACATCGGCCTGGGTAGGGCCCGAATAAAAGGTCAGGTCAATGCCTCCACCAAGAGTTCGCCAGATCAACCTCTGAGATCTTAAAAGCACTTCTTGCCCGTGGGCGTTTCTCAAAAAGACGCCATGCGAATAAGAAGTGTATTGTTCAGAGGCATTCAATGCACTTCTCTTCGCATGCTTGTGAGAGCCGTCGGCCTTGAAATATCTCGTATCAAGATAGAACGGATGTTGCCCATATATGTTGCTATAAGAATGCAAGTTAGTCGGATTCGGGGTATGTTTTCTGAGCCGGAGGACTCGCCTATCAATCGGATCTCCGATATCCGCCGCATACATGGTGACATTCGCATCCTTGAGCAGACGGAGCTGGTTGAAATGTTCTCCGAGGCCGTACAAGTTGTATTCTTCCGGCAGAGATGTTGAGAACTCAATGAATTGATTCTCATAGACCAAAACAGTACCTCCAGTGTCGAACAAGACATCCCCGGTAGCCTCACGAACGACCTTGAAGTTGAATGACGGCTCGTTGGACCAGGAGAATGTGAGATCACTGCTGGAGTTTTTTGCACCATCACCTGACTTGGGCCTAGGCACGAACTCCTCCGACAAGATAAACCACGAGGAATTAGAGGCGTCGACATACGTGGGAAGAATCTGTATGTTCAGTCGATTTGATGCCTGATAGTCCACCGTTAAAGTCAAGGTATCAAGATCTGTCCCATAGACATTGCATGCCTTCCCGGCCAGCTCCAAGCGTGCCGTGAAGCCATGGGAGCCCTGTTGCACGTTTGAGGCCTTGTAACCTGGACATACAGATTGTGCATCGACTGCCTGAGGATCATCGATGTTGGCAATCAATTGGGCCCCCACATCTGCTTCAGCCGGGATAGTGAACTGCGCGTACGAGGCGGATGCGGATGTGCTGTACAAGGTCGACTGGCTCAGCCCAGAGGCCACAGGCATGAGCCAAGCACCAGCCAGCGTTACCATAAGATTAACCATGGCGAGCAGCAGGTAGAGAGACCGGCACCGTCGTCGTGTTATGGATGGCTAGCATGAAAACAGCTAGAAACCCTCGGGTTTGTTCCTCCACGAAGCCGGGCTCATAAGTATTTAAATCCTTGTAGTGAGAGCACAATGCAGTCAGTCATCGGAATTCTAGACGGACGTGTTGTGCAACAAGGCGTTGTCCCCCGCAGACAAGCCATTATTGCTCCGTCGAATTCCCGTGGTGCAAGGGCGGATCGGGCCCGCATTCAGAGTCGACTGGGAGACTTTCCGGCAGGCAAGATAGATTACTTGGAGATTGATGCGGGGAAGACAAGCCAAGAGTAGAATTAGGTTTAGATGATCGAAGAATGATGCCAGGAGCGGAAAAGGGAGAAAGGAGTGCAGAACAAGCCAAAGTCATCGGTTATCGATTGGTGTTCAGGAATCAATCGGTACTTGGCTGGAAGCCTGGAATTGATCCCTCGGTTAGAAACCGGGAGGTCCTTGTTTGGATGCCTGAGACTTCGGGCCTGACGACTATCACCTGATGCTCGCGCTCGGATTGGTCCATGCCCCGATAATTGCCCGACGGCGTGGAGACTCACAGCAAGCGAAGTACCTAAAGTACTCCGTACCTATCGTTTCCTTTTCACTGCATTCCTTCACCTTCACGAATCCTTGAGACCGAAACTGCACTCGCGCGAGACCCCATCAGGCATCACTAATCCCGACTGAGGTCCGGTCCGTCCGGCCAATATCTTCAGCACGGCTCCCACTTCCCAAACAGCAACCGGTGAAGAGGCCGATCTTCACACCAATACTTCGCCTCATACACAATGAAAAAGAATGGGTCCAGCCTCGGCACTTCCCAGGCAGGATTCTGGGGACAAGTGAGTTTCCGGTATGGAAGGGCAGAACCTTCAAGCGGCCTACAGAGGGCATACGCCATACGCACTCTCAGCGTCAGGCTCGGCTTCCCGAAGCGAAGTGCACATTACAGATGACAGCCAATACCTGAGCGGAAGCACCCGGACTGTGGAGAAATCCGCCAGCAATAGGACTGGATCCCAATCACATGAAAAGATCCTACAGTATACCAGCGTTCCTATTATATGCAGGGGCTGGAGAGTCAGAATTAAAAATGACGCACCCAGAGTCTTGGTCTGCCTTCAACCGCCGTAATGCGCACATTTGCTCGAACCTTCTCTGGCCGATTATCCTAACAGGTGGAGCGCCTGGTCATACCCTTCATCAGCAGACAATACACTGTTCTTCGTTCTGTGAAGTGATCTGCTCTGGGTGTCTACACTCCAAATCACTCTGTAGTAGGCGGTAGAGAAATCCTTGATCGATCTTGCACGGTGAAAGGGGCCGCCTCTCGGTACCTTCGAGGCCTGGGGGGCGAATCTGGGAACCAAACAACTAGCTCGTCAGAGCCGTTAATTGAGCAGAGGCCCTAGGAAACGAAACGAAATTAAATCGACTAACTAGCATGAACCCAACAGGGTCTGGTACCGCGGGGTCCGGGCCACCTGGAGGACGTGCCTTGTGCCTCGCACCATGTTTCCCTTCCCCCGCTTGTTGCGCCCCCGGATTTTCCGTTCTTCGCTGCTCTCGCCCCCTCCAGAAATCTCATGATCCTTATGTATCTCTGAATCCGCGTGGCCTCCAAGATCAGAATAGTATTTCTCCTGGATCTATTACTCAACCAACGTGCAATGATGCCCATGGACTGCCATCGTTACTGCTGATCTTCCACCGCGATCCGATTATAGTCCCCGCAAACCAATGGACTCGCAGCCTTCCCCCACTAAGCCTAAATCCTCTAAGCAAGCCTGCGACAACTGCCGTCGTCGAAAGATCAAATGCTCTAGGGAGCTCCCTTGCGACAAGTGCCAGCGTCTCCTGCTCTCCTGCTCCTACAGTGACGTTTTACGACGCAAGGGTCCCAAATTTCGCACCATCTATCCACTTGCGCCCATTCACCCATTGGTATCCCGCCAACAACAAGACGCTTTTCACCAGCACCCGCAGCAGTACCCTCCAGAGAAGCAATGGACAGCTGATCCTGTGGCTTATCCGTTGGCAAGGTCGCCAACGTCGCCACCGTTCACATTAACGGACTCTCAATACCTGTCTCATGATGTTTTGGAGCCGCTTGCCCAGCTCCCTCCTCCGGAGCTAGTTTCCTCTCCTGACTCGATGAACTCTCTCTCGGATTCTACAATCGGCATCATTCGTCCCTATGCAAGGCGCCTTTCAGCCCCGGTACTCTTAGCTCACGTCAATGTTTATCTCAAATACCTGTTCCCCATCATGCCAGTAGTGCGGAGGGAGGAGCTCCAGCGAGACTGCCATCGACCCGAACTACTTTCATCGCAGAGGTACGCATTTCTGGCATCTCTATGCGCCGCCACGCATATCCAGCTCAAGTTGGACGGAACGACTTCTGTGCCCGATCCATCGCATTTTCCGACTGGGGCCGAAGGCCACTCGAGCATGTCGGGAGAGGAGTTGCTGGCCGAGGCAGTACGAGCAAGGAAAGACTGCGATGTAGTGGAAGATCTCAATATGGACAGTCTCCTGACATCGTTCTTCCTCTTTGCTTCCTACGGCAATCTAGACAAACAAGACCATGCTTGGTTCTACCTGTGTCAGGCCACCTCCATGGTCTTCACGCTAGGTCTCAACCGCGAATCAACTTACGCTGAGTTGAGTGTCGAAGAAGCCGGAGAGAGGCGGAGAGTCTTCTGGCTGTTATTTGTGACAGAAAGGTAAGCGAGTATGATGCCGCAGCATGATTAGAACGAAGGTCTGATTATGACTAGGGGCTATGCACTCCAGCAGGCCAAACCGGTCATGTTACGCAACTCCATCCACAAACCACAAGTCCTCTGCTCCGAAGACCCGATCCTCGCCTACGGATTCATCAATCTCATCAGCATCTTCGAGAAACTGACCGTCAATCTCTTCGACTGGATATCCGCCGGCGGCGTGGACAGCTCATCCGAGATCCCACCCACCTCCGCCATCCAGTCCAGTCTCTGCAAAACGATATCCCTCGAAGGAGTGTCAGAGATCCAGAAGGTTGATATCCTCATCACCCAACAGTGGCTGCAAGCCATGATGTGGAAGCTCTCCATGACCCGCCCCACCCAACCCGGGTCTCGCGATGATGCAGTCCTCCCATTTCACCTGCCAGTCATGGTCGGAAGGGCCGTGATGAGCGTCATCAGCGCAGCATCTCAAGATGCCGTTGATGCCCACGGCATCGGCATGGTCAGTCACAAGCCCCAAGACAGAATCATTTCCCCCCCCAATTTTCATCTCCAGCAACCCGCTCCCCCTTTCCTTCCTCATACCTTCCAACCCACTCACGCCATTTTTTTTTATTTTCAGGAACAAAAACTCTTCGACCTAGGCACCGCCGTCGCCGACGTCACACGCTCCCTAAGTACCGGCTCGAAATCCTCCACCCACCGTCTCACCGACTCCGCCATCGACCCCCGCGAACTTCTCTGGGGGATCCTCACCACCCTCTCCCGCATCCGCGGCTCCCAGTCCCACCTCTTCCCCACGTTACTGGAGCGCTGCAAAGGCGCCCTCGACTTCACCTCCCCACTCTCCATGGGCGAGTTTCTCGCTCTACCTGCACCACCCCCACCACCGCCGCCGCCGCCGCCACCATCCATCAACAACAACAACAGCAACCCCTCCGAATCGTGGAACGCGGAGACCAGCGGACTCGAGATCGTCGCCTCGTTGCCGGAAACCCTCAACCTCCAAGATCATCACCAAGATCCCGATGATGTCGATACGCTGTCGCAGATTCTGTCCCTGGCTTCACAGATCGAGTATCAGGCAGGGAATGGAGGGGCCGGCGGTGGTGATCGTGGTCATAAGTGAAACTTCAGAAATGTGTGTATTTTCCCTCGGAATGACTGGGTTGTATGGCATGTGGTGATTCTAACCCGGGTTTGTGCTGGGACTCTTATACTGTGATACCACTCCTCTCGGAGTATACATATATACATACAAAGGCCTCGAGTAATGAACATAATGATATATGGTTTGTAGGAGATATTGATCTGCGAAATAGCCTGCAATGTCAATAGACTTCAATCTCGCCGTCATGAACCGACTCATTGCTCAAGGCGATGTGAAATGGATAAGATGACAGACCTAACTTTTCTATAATTGATGATATGACACATAATCAATGATCCCGATTCTGAAGAAACAAGACAGAACTACGTAGACATCTGATATGATAGGAACAATTTTTGAGGGCCTCTAAAGAGAAGGAAAGCAAAGTGAGAATCAGTCTAACCAAAACCCGTCTGTGGGAGAGAAAGTATGATCGTGTTGCTATACATAAAACATGACGGCTAAGCGTCAATAAACAGGAACCTATACAAATAATGGGTATGTGCCAAATCCAGCTCGAGCCTTGGATAGCACGTCATCACATGGGACAAAGGCAAGGGGAAATAAAAACTTTCATGATCTATGCGCCGTTATAATTATAAGTGTACCGCACTGAAGTGCGGATGGATCCACGTATTGTTTCGGTGAAGCACGGGACGTGGTCCGTCGTCCGAGTCAAGCAGCAGGCCGGTGCTGGGTATGTGACGACAATTTGAATGTGCTGAAAAAGAGTGATCAATGGGGTGAAGTAGAGCATTCCGCATCTACTCTTTTCGCCAGATTAACTCCAGAACCTTATCACCGAGCTCAGGGTCCCGACGAATGTACCATTGGCGGACCTGGTTGCCATCGATAATCGCATCTTCGTGGATATAGCTAATCTTGCCTTCATCCTTTGGTCGGAGCGGGCCAAGTTCATGCAAGAAGGACTCGAAGACTGCGCCATTGTCGCCGGCCCATGTGAGCTCCATCGACTTGTCATCCGGGGGAACGTCATTGCTGTACTTGACGATAGAGAAGCCGTTGGTGAGGATCCAGCCGTCGCCGAAGTGCCATTTTCGCAAAAGACACGAGTCGCCACAGATCTCACTGACAACACCCAGCTTGGCCATGTCGGCATTGAACCATGACTTCCAGTGGTGAACGGAGAGCGGCGGGGGTCGAGCAGCCTCAAAGAAACCAGATACATCACCCCTCATGTCGATCTGTCGCAGGCGGTGATCAATGGTCAAATGGGCATCTGAATACTGGTAGATGCAGAGGGATATCTTGCGATCTCCCGTGGATTCCATCTTTTGACAGTCCTCGTAAACCTCTTTGCGGCCTATCTGCTCAATCAGGGGTCTAGACATGAAGACGCCAGCGCCTCCAAAACCCATCAAACCGAAGATTCCGACTTGGGGCATCGCTTCCGATAGCCCACCGACATAGGTCTGCGCTGTATCGTCATATTTCGATAGAGCCTGTACCAGCGCCGTCATCGAAGGGAAGAAAGTATCGTCATCGATGACACAGGTCCATCTCGTCTGCGGCCGCAGATTCTTGGCCAAATGTGGCACTAACGAGAAGTATCGGTGCTGGTATTCTTCCGTCGACTCGGTTACCGAGAGGTTAACACCTAAGTTCTCAGCCTTAGTGAGGACTTCATTGACCCGCGCATCTGGTTCAATGAGTGCCAAGATGCGAGCGTTCGTATGTCCAGCCCAGTGAGTGAATGCGTCTAGCGACTCGTTCAGACGCTCCAGTGTTGTAGCCACACCGAAGTCAATGTGGGATGCGTCCGCCCTTGGTAATATCGAAGGTACAGAGACAGAAACAGGACGAGGCATCAAGCAATCATCCTGATGCACGCTATCTTCCGCAAACCGATGGTCCTTGTGGATTTTCTCGAAGAGAGGCACTTCGATTCGTTGTGCAATGGGAACGACGTCGCTCAAGGAAGAAGAAACGACAATTTCACGGCGGACATATTGAGAGAGCTTGTGGACGTCGAGGCGTTGGAGGGCATCGAAGTCGGGTTCGCATTCGACCTCGGAGGTAACGGTGATATTTGAGATCGTCTGAGTCGTGATTTCATGGTGAGGTTCGATCTCAGGCCAAAGGAAGATCGTAAAACTGGTCACAAGACAAGCTGCGACCACAAAGCGCAGCAATTTTCTCCTCCACATGTACGAGGCGCCCATGGCGGTCCGCGGCTTCTCCTCGGTCTTATTCCACATCTGGGTCCGGTAACGTTTATCTTTTAGGAAAGGGATGTATTGAATCTAGACGCCGCACTGGAACTGCAAGACCATCGCGATGCTCCAATATAGCGATAGTGGGAGAGAGACGGTGGAGATTATGGCAGGAGAGGCCTGGTCCAGATGGGAGGGCGGGAGCGGGCGGCAAAGAAGAGGAAGGCGAGGGCGGAAACACAGGAAGGAATATAACAATCGAGTCAGGAAGGAGAAAAGAGCAAACGATCCTTGAAATCCGCAACGATGAAGGAAATGACGGGCAGCGTCGGAGACAGGCGAGGACGGCAGAGGGATGACGAAGGTCAAAAAGAAAGCGACGACGACAACGTCAATCCTGGGCCCGGTTAACCGTCAGGTTAGTGGAAGAAGATATGGAGTGGGAAGGTTGATAGCCGATCAACGGGGCTCCAAAATACCATTGCAGCAAGAACAAGCACCGCACGGCTTGAAAATGGCCGGATCTGACTTGGGGACGAAACGAATCATGACCGGGCGGAGAATGGCTAACCCAGGGATCGACTATGGGCCAGTCTGGTTTCCCTAAGGCCCTGGACTGTAGCGGATGGAGACCGATCCATCTGCTGTCCAGTGGTCTATCGAATGAGAAATCATCAAGCCATCAGGGCACACCTGCTGGACGGAGCAGCCACACAACATGTCCCACTGTCCACAGGGGCCGATCGGCCTAGAGACCAGTGCTAGGAGATTTCCCTGAAGTGACAGTCTCCCCAGGGTTACGTTCTTGAATTAGGGGTCTTTCTGCGCTTGCCCCGAACGTCCTACTCCATTGCCGCATTGCACAGTGCACATTTGCACAGTGGGATGGGGTGGATGGTCAGCCTGCCATTTTGCCTTTCTCTTTTTTTTTTTTTCCATGTTCATTTTTTGGTGGCAGAGTACACATGGATAGGATGGAACCGGGACAGGTGAAGGGGGGGAAAGAAACAGCTTTCTCCCACTTACTTTTCCACCCCCAACCTCCCCCCCACCGATTAATGTGGCCGCACCGCTACAACCCCTGGGTACAACCATGCATTTGACGCGCATTCCGTTTGGGGCGAAGGGCCTAAAACGGACGGCGGGGGCGACGGATTGCTGATGACGAATCGCCGGCGCATACTTTAGCGATTAGATAGCGTTCCGCATGAGGAATTTATTATGGACTCTAGCAGCGTCAGCAGCGCCAAGTGATGGTAAACTGTACACTGCTCTAAAGAAGAACACATTGCTACAGTACCTGAGTGTAGGGTAACAATGTGTAGGCCCGGGCCCCCTTGTATGAGTAGAGAGAAGATCGGTAGTAATTGCGCCTGTTGCAAGTCGAAGTGGGATCATCGCAAACGGCGCCCTGGGGGGGAGGGGGAGGACAATCCGGACAATGTCTTGTTCCGGCCTCCTCGCGTGACGTCCTTAAGTCAGTCATGTGCTTCATTTCACGGCCACAATCTTTCTTTTTTTTTTTCTCCGCTTGGTGGGCAGGAGATTGTTATTGTTCTTATGGTGTCGGACAACAGCCGTTGGACATAATAATAGAAATGCATTTCTTGGATCTGAGCCGATTGATTGGCTCTTGTTGTCTGTGCACGCCGCCACGCAGTAATCAGATAGCCTCGCTCTTAGCAGTCTCAACTCAAACGATGCGTATGAACCATAGGCTGGGTTAAGCATGCCGGTCTGTCTGACATTCAGTGACCCTGAAAAGTAAGGGGTATTTGGTCTAGAACCTCATCAAGAGCAGTGAAGGCGGACTGGACTATCTGAAAGCCAGCAGTCACATAGTGTTGCTATTGGGGGGGATAATAGGATTGATGAAGTGGTAAGGTATGTCTGGCACAGGCTGAATTTACCTCTCCTGGAAGCTTTGCTGTCAATGATCCCACAAAGCTGGACTGGCATTTATCGATGTCCTGATAGTTAAGTCCTCGCATGCTTGTGATGGTCGGAGGAAAGGCCCGCGGAGATGGGCTACGGCCGCCGGAATGAGCCTCTAGTGCAGAATTCCCCAATGGGGAAATATCACACTCCCGCACAGATGGTTCACAAGCTTGGACTGGCCACTTGGAAGATCAAGCATATCCAGCTCATTATCTTCATATCTCTACACTCCTTCAGAACCGCTCGAGTGGGGTATCTTGATCTCACCTCACCTTAAACCACGCCCATCTTGGGCTACTGCGAATCACACCCCGGGTGACTCAGTCGTCAATTTGACACGGCATCGCCATGGCTGCCCAGTCATTGAGTTCGTTGCTACAACGAGCCTCCATTGACGACCACGAAGAAGTTCTTCAGTCCTCCAACGCTGCACTGGCCAAATCGAAAGCCGACCAGCATGCCCAGCATATCAAGGTCATTGCTCTTTGTAAACTCGACCGCTACGCCGACTGTCTGCGTGTGTTCGAGGAAGCCGGTGACGGCTTGAAGACCCGGGCCGCTCTGGAATATGCCTATGTCCTCTACAAGTCAGGCCAGCCGGAGGATGCCATAGAGGTAGTCTCCAAGGTGACTGGCAACCGTGGTGCTCTTCACTTGGAAGCTCAAGCCGTATGTCACCCTTACCTGTCCTTGCATGTGTTGTCATACTCCGCCGTCAACAATCGTTGCTAATCCCTAATTTGCGAAAACATAGAGCTATCGCGCCGAGAGATTCAGTCGCGCCGCTGAATTATACGAAGAACTCTCGAAAAATGGAGCCTCAATGACCAACGAGGAAAACGATCTGCGCATCAATGCCTGGGCTACGGATGCACAGCTGCAGTGGAAGGGCTATCCCGAGTTCGTTCGTCATAACCGACCAACCCGTGATGATTTGGAGGCATTTGAAACCGTGTACAACGCCGCATGCTTGAGCATAGCAAAGGGCGAATTCGAGCAAGGAGAACTGCTTCTGAAGCGAGCCAAGGGTTTGTAGAAACAGGATGCACAAAGGCAATAACGATTGCTGACCTCTCCTCCTTACACAGAACTGTGCCGCACGTCAGAAGATCTCACCCCGGAGGACAGAGACGCCGAACTACTCCCAATTGCCGTGCAGCAGCTGTACGTCCTGCTTCGCCAAGGCAAGTCTGAGGAGGCTCAGTCCATTTTGGAGGAGATCTCGGTCAAGGAGTGCGCATACCTGTTCCTGGTCAAATTCTTCCAAGCTGAAGCTCACCCGACCGCAGTATCCACGAAGCCTCGACGAAGAAGATCGCACAGACCAACGCCACCCTCGCTCGCGGCGCCTCAGCCAATCCCTATGCTTTCTACAAGGCCTTCAAAGAGATCCCAGACGCGACAGAGAGCGACAAGCTGTTCGACTACCAGAGCCACCTGACGACCGGCAACTCGCATGCGGCCGACCTCCTCGTCCGCAAATACGACGGCATCATCCGCTCAACCTCCAAGGCCCTCTCTCGCGCCGCCTACCCCTCCACAGAACCCAGCGCCAACCTCCTCTCGGTGTACAACGCCGCCGCGCACGCCCAAGGTGAATCCGGCACGAAAGCGCTCAAGCCTGTCGTAGCCGCGCTCGACAGGCGGCCCAAGGACGTGGGCCTGGCCCTCACCGCCGTGCAGCTCTACGTGGGCGCGGGCAACACCACCTCCGCGATCACCACTCTCGAGTCCACCCTTCAACTCCTCGACGAGTCCATCTCCGAGCAAGACAAGGAAGTTCGCTTCAACCCGGGCGTTCTGAGCGTGCTGCTCTCCCTCTACAAGCTCGAGGGCCGCAAGGTCCAGATCCGCTCGGAACTGGCCAAGGCCGCCGCCTACTGGCAGCAGCAGCAGCGGGACGGCGCCAGCCAACCGCCCCCGGCTCCCCTCCTCCGCGCCGCCGCCGCCTCCCTGTTGCACTCGACCGACACCGCCGACCTCACCAAGGCCGGCGACCTGTTCAAGTCTCTCTACCAGTCCAACACCGCCGATGACTTCGCTGTCGCCGGGTACGTCGCCGCGCAGGCCCCCATCGACTACGCCAAGGTCGAATCCCTGGTCGACCAGCTCCCGTCCGTTGCGGACCTGATCGCCGAGGTGGACGTGGCTGGCCTCGAACAGGCGGGGATCGCGCCTTCCTCGGGGGCGAATGCCGCTGCCGCGGCTGCGATCGCGGGCGCGCGCAAGCGGTCCGCCACTGCCAACCAGGAAGACGGCGGTGCGGCGAAGAAACGGGTCCGCAAGTCGCGGCTGCCCAAGGACTATGATCCGAGTAAAACCCCCGACCCGGAGCGCTGGCTGCCTCTGCGCGATCGCTCGAACTACCGGCCCAAGGGTCGCAAGGGCAAGCAGCGCGCGGCGGACCGGACACAGGGTGGTGTGGTGAACGACAAGGCTGAGGAGTCTGCCCCGGCCACCAACCAGCCTAAGCCTCAGAGCGGCGGTGGCGCCAACAAGAAGAAGAAGAAGGGCAAGCGGTAGTGATACGAAACGGTAATCCTTCATGTTTCTTTCTAATTTCTATTCATGAGATATGTCTTGCATTGGCTGGCAGAGAAAAAGAAGAGAGGTCTTTAGACTCCCTGGAAGCATGTAAATAGAAATTCGGTCATTCTGCTGCTCTGATGCAACTCCTCCTCTCGCCTTCGAAACACATAGCAAATTTAGAGTATGCATATTAGTTCTTACATGTGAGACTTTTCCTGCTAGAGCAGCATCCCACCGTGAGCATAACCGCGCGTGTTGCCAATTTCAGTGCTTAGCCCAGAGGAGTCCGAATAGTACCACACTGCCGATCGTACTGCTCGAAGATTTGGTAAAACAGCTTCAGATCCTGAAGCCCATCGCGGGCGGACGTCATGGCCATCTTATCTTCGGTGAGATAGGCGTGCAGCGCCTTGAGTTCTGCCTCATAGGTCTCCTGCCACCCGCTCACACTCTCGGTCCTCTTCATCTCCCCATTCTCATCCGCCGTCTCCACCACGACCTTCACAGGCACGCCACGAGCATACGGTAGACCGTATTGGATGCTGACAGTCTTTGTGTCACCATAAATTGCAAGGTGTGCATCACAACGCGGCACGGCATCGGTACCCGTCTCATACATCAGGGTGAATGGGTGCTCGCCCTTCCGCCCGCTGTAATAATGGAACAACGCCGAGTAGTATGGCTCATTCACAGAGATATTAGAGATAGCATCAGGAAACCCAAGCGAATCGCGCATCAAGCCCAAGTCATGGCATCCCAGAGAGGCAAGAAATTCGCAAAGGGCGATTCGTTCTTTGGTCAGTTCCTCTCCCAAGAACATCTCTTGCAGTAGACCTTGCATGAGCTGCGGGCCGCTATTCTTCTTCCTATTCTCCTCCGATGCAAATCCATATGCTGCTGCACCATTCAAGGCAGTCCAGAGCTTGTTCCGCGGTGCGGTAGCCGTATGCGCCAAGCTAGGGCCCGCGATGTTTCGGCAGCGAGCGTAGTAGATGCGATCCAGGGACGCAACCTCCTTCTTGAAGACCTCCTCGATACACGGAGCGTAGCGTCGCGCACATGCCACGAACACTTTGGCACCATTGGGGGCGCGCTTCTCCGCTTCGATAATGCGCCTTGCGCTTTGGATGCTCAGGCTCACGGGCGTCTCGACCATGACGTGCTTGCCAGCATCCAGCGCCGCTACGGTGTAGATCTCGTGGTATTCATTGGGCATGAAATTGAGGATCAGCTGAACCGATGGGTCGGAGATGACCTCTTCGGCAGAAGATGCACGAGCGATGTTTTTGATTCCGTTCTCATGGCCATCGGCTTTAGTCGTGCCATTTGTGTGATGGCCGTTAGTGTGGCCGTTGGTGTGACCATTGGTGTGACCGTTGGTGTAATGGCCGTTAGTGTAAGCCTTCCTGGTGCTGTTTGTCGTCTGCTTGGTATCTGTTGAAGCATTGTAGATAACAGCTACTTTGTATGAGTTGGTAAGGGCGGTAAGGATGGGAAGGTAGATTTCTTGGATGGCTTGGGCGCCTTCGTCTGCGGTGAGGATCCCGAGCTGGAGGACCTTCGGCGTCATTGTGCTTCTCTTGTTCAGATAGGTGCTTTCTGTTTTCTCTGTATCAGGCCGAGATGCGCTGGCTGTGCACGTGTTAGGCTTATGTGGAGAGGACCTGCAGATCGTGACTTACGCAAGCAAACTCAATAGATCAATCAGCCGGCACGCAGAGTGGACAGCGCGAGACTCTGGAGATTAGGAGGAGGAGATGGAGATGGAGAAGAGGGAAGGCGCATTTTTTGAGATGAAGAGAAGGACAAAGTTCTGAACGGGATCGAGCACTGGCTTCAGGTGAAGAATGCTGGATGCAAGGGATGGACTCGGCGGATGGATAGAGGAGTACCTGCCTGTTGCAGTGTTACCCCCTACAAATCCGGAAACAAACACTAAAATTTGGAACCAAGCGTCTTAAGGAAACAACAGCAGGGTGAAACCTGGAACTTGATCAGCTTGGCTCAAGTTCTGCCATGTGCTATGATAACTTTTCTCAGTCTCGTGAGAGAAGGAAAGGGTTGTGATGGTGAGGTGATATCAGAAGCAAGATGCTTGCACTGGCCTTTGTTGGGTCAGGGTATTCCATGACATCAGTGGCACTTGTTTCTGATTTCTTCTAATTGTGCTTGTACATCTCTGCTGAAAAATAGTTTTCGATGTATCCTTCGACTTTGTTCCTAGATGTATTTGGTAGTGCAGGGAAATTGAGACGACTAGAGGCATGATCCATTATGCTTGCTATAGATCGATATACTACGGTAGGACTGCAGGTCGATCGGGTGGGGCCCTTGCCGTAGTCGCCTATGTTTGAGTATGAGTACATGCAGCCTGTCTGCATGACACACGAGTATTAACCAAAAGATTGACAGGCAAACTTCCCGGGAATTACCAGTCAGCTGAGATTACCACCCTACACATCCTTGATTCGATAACTTAGCAGGCTTGGTGGGATGAGATTGTGATCACTGGCCTTTTCGATATCGGCAGGTCATGTGCCAGCTATTTTGCTTGGAAGATGTATATTGTGGTCCAGGTACACACTCTCAACATAATGTATTCTGTAGGAGGAGTAGAATATTGTGGATGCAATGCAGCCTTATGCCATGACGGACACAATACCTTCTGCAAGCTGAAGATCAACCCTGAGGGCAATTTAATAGACTTTGAACGAGGCTGGGTTTTGTTGACTTTATTATGTACTGTAGTGTACTCGTACTCCTACTAAGAAACCGGTCGTCATCTCAGTTCGACACGAAACGACGACTACTAGGTACCTAGGTAGTAAGCCCCGCCTAAGGCTGGATGCAGCCTTAGTGTGCATTTAGCGGCTTCTCATTCGATCTGAGATATGGCTGTGAACACTTGGAGGGCGGAACACTCTCTCCTTTTTTTTTTTTTCCCCTACTCCTCTTCCGCTCCTGCCCCTCTGACGACATCATCAGATTATATCAAACAGCCAGCTGCAGGGTCAACAACCATTTTCCTTTTCTTCCTCCCATTACCACCACTTCCATCCCAAGGAACCCAGAACCAACATCAGATATTAATATCGGAGTAACCCATCAATCAGTCCACTATGGGGGTAAGTTCGAGTCTAAGTTATTTGTCCCACCTTCCATTCCTCATCAATTGTTAATTTTGAACTGCCCCGCGTTGCTGCCCCGCTCCTCCCAAAGCTCGACCTGCAATCATCTGCATCAGCTTTCGCGAACACGTCAACCTGCTTCTGCTTTCGTCGTGGTGTACGGTACTTGAACTTGGACTAACCACTGCATTCTGCACTTGCTTGCTTTCTTTCCAGTTTGCGTCGAAGATCGCCAACAGTATGAACGGTCCAACCGGCGGGAACACCAACAAGCCCGGTGGTGGTGGTGGTGTGTATGGAGGAGCACCACCCACTGGCTACACTGGAGGACCTCCAAGCTCGCTGCAGCCTGGAGGAGCAGCCGGTGGATATGTGAGTCCGCCCTACGCAAGTGACTAAGTTAATTCCGTTGCCCCTCACACATCCATGATTCATTCATCATCATTGATCCAATTTGCACATTTTCTGAACTCCTGTAATCTCATCCTTTTCCTCCCCCAAAGCTGACGCAGTCATTTCCTAGCAACCACAGCAGATTCCTCAGCAGCAACAGGGTCAGCAGTATCAGGCTTACTCAGGCTCGCCTGCTCCCGCTGGTGGTCCGGTAAGCTAAAACTTCCATAGCTGTTCTTTCTTTACTTTCTTGAGTTGCTCTTTTCCCAAACCCACCCCCCCCCCCCCCCCCACCCACCCTCTCCCTACATCCCTCCGGAGTTTCCTACCCATCAATCACCATCGAATAAACGAGAGCCTGAAAACAACTCCACCATCTTCCTAAACTACCATCTTCTCTGTGCCCCTCTTATCCTTACTTTTACTCGACCGTGGCCCGCTCTCTACCTTCCTTCAACCTTCATATCCTTCCTGCTCGCCGTTGTCCGGGCACTCGGGCGCAACTTCTCGACCATGTCTCGGCCTTACTATGACCCTTACGGTCACCCCTCTCAGCTCCGTCCTGGATCTGCCCAACCTCCCCAGTCTCCTTATCCAACCTCACCGTCGGGACAATACCAGGCATACGGGGCTCCATCACTTCCCCCCAACAAGCCGGCTCACACGCCTTCACCTGGCCCTCAGTCGCCCTATCCTGGAGCACAACCTCCTTATCAAACAAGCCAATCGCCCTACCCTGGTCCTCAGCCCGCTTATTCTGCACCGGCCAATCCATCGCCGTCTCCCGCTCCTCAGCCTTACGGCCAGGCGTACGGCCAGGCTTATTCGCAAGCACCATATGGTGGTCCCGCGCCTTCTGCCCAAGGCTACGCGCAACCGTCACCTTATAGCACGCGGGACCAACCATCTGGACAGTATACTCAGCCACAGCAAGGCTATGGCCGGCCCCCGCCTCCCCCACCCCAGGGTCAGCCCTACGGATCAGCCGCCCCCCAGTACTCTCAACCTCCTACAGCTCAAGTACATATTGGTTCCCATCTCTCATCACATGCGTTCTCAGTTTCTTCCATATATGCTGTTATCCTAGCGCACGTTTACCCAGGATCGTAATCCTTACTGACCGAGTCTGATGTTCTAGGGTCAACCTTACCCTCCTCAAAATGCGCCTTACTCCGGCGGGCCCGTTCGTCCTCCCCAGCAGGGTGGACCTCCCGGAGCTGCGTACGGTCCCTCGGGGGGTGCACCTCCTCCGGCTCGTGCCACGGAGCAGCAGACCGCCGCCTACCGACAGCTGTTGATTGGCACTATTCAAGAGAAACGCCTTCAAAGCTTCTACCCCCCTGAAAGACTTGATAAGCTCGTTCAGGCTCTGTCCAACGATGCACCCTTTAAAGTGAGCAAGCTGACTCATGAGCTTAACATCCCAACTGAAGTCGCCATGGATGTCATGAAGTTGGCTCTCTTTGATGTTATCTTGTACGTGGACGACAGTGGCTCCATGGAATTTGAAGAACGAGGTGTGAGAAAAGAACAACTGCGTTCGACCATCGAGGTCGTTGCATCGGCTGCGTCCACCTTTGATGACGATGGTATCTCCGTGCGGTTCATGAACTCACCTGAGCAAGGCGATGGCATTCGTAATGCAGACGATGTCAATCGCCTCGTTTCGCGAGTTCGCTTCCAGGGTCTTACACCACTCGGCACAAGTCTACGCAACAAAGTCCTCGACCCGATGGTGGTGGCTCCGGCCAGAGCTGGTCGGCTCCAGAAACCTGTTCTGATCATCACGATTACCGATGGACAGCCGGCCGGTGAGCCGCTGGATAGTGTGTCGAACGCCATTGGCTATGCTGTCAACGAAGTTTCTCGCACTCAGTATGGACAGGGGGCCGTTTCCTTCCAATTTTCACAGGTCGGAAACGACACCAAGGCCCGGGATTTCCTCGCTTCTCTGGATGAAGATCCTCGAATCGGCTCCTTGATTGATTGCACCTCAAGTATGTTGTGGCCTCGCTATGTTGGTATGATGTACTAACTGAGCTTATAGACTTCGAGGTTGAGCAAGATGAAATGTCACGGGCTTACCCCCCCGTGCATCTGACTCGCGAACTCTGGGTAAGTGCCTATGAGCTACCATCTTCACTACACGTCATGGACTGACTTTATATATACTAGTGCGCCAAACTCATGCTTGGTGCTATTGACTCTTCATACGACACCAAAGATGAGAAAGCTGCTGGGCGTAGTGGTGCTCCGCCTGCTGGACCTCCAGGTGGTCAGTACGGTGGTTATAACTACAACCAGCCTCCCGCCCAGAATTACAACCAGCCGCCTCCCGGCCAGTACGGCTCAGGATCGGGATACAACCAGGCACCATACCCGCCCAGCCAGGGTCAGGGCCAGGGTCCCCCTCAGGGCTACGGGCAAGGCTATGGTGGCGGCTACGGCACTTCCTCTCCGCATCCCAACCAACCTGGGTATGGACAGTCGCCTGGTGGAGCTACACGAGGCTACCCTGGCTACGGAGCGCCTCCCCGCTACTAGACAGGAGGTCGCATATGTTGAAGCCGGGGGCGAATCAAACTGGTTTCGGCCAGGAATTGCTTAAGTCTGTAACCATTGCTTTTTTGCATTAATATGAGCACTGTTATGTAATGAGGACGGCCGCATAAAATTGGCACAAATGCAAACGACCAAGGAGTCTCTCTTTGTGTGGTCGCAACACCATGTAGTATCTCCTATGCGGTGTACCACAAGACGATAGTAGATCGATGCTCACGGTGCTCCCGATTGACCGCGGGCAAATATTTGACATAGTCATACAATTAGTAGTCTATACAATTAGTAGTCTAGGCCAAGCACAACCTCAGATGCTAGCGAAAAGTGGGAACATCTCAACATTACACATGACGTCATAATGAACAAGATCACGTGAGCATATCGAAGTGCCCTACAATAGATGACAGCTGGGTTGCACCATCAAGCCTGCGTTTGTAGTTGATGTGCAGTGTATCATTTTCGAAATAGCAGACCAGGATTGCGCGATGGAGACTGCAACCAAGAACAGCATGGATGTTCGCCATTGTCTTTATGATCAACAAGTACATATCAGAGGCATGGTCAACGGGTGTGGACAGGCCGGAGGATTTCCTATTTCGGACTGTATCCGCCATAGCCCCGGGAGGAAGAAGACACACTGTCACTAGGCTATGCTCCACTGTAGGTTAGTGTTGAGGAATCGCTATCCATGTCATGTCTGTCTGAAGTGTTCGTTCGTTCAACCTTCCACAAACTCCAACCACTCAAGTTAGAGTCGGAGAGATCAGTGGCGCGCAGGCAGCCGCATGACAGGGACAGATGATAGACTGGTGAATGGTCGGTTTTTGCCCCGCCCTAGGTTCCCTCCCTCTCTCAGGCTCTCTTTCTTCTTCCTTCCCTCCAATAAACTAACTTTGTCTTGTCTTTTCCTGGTTCTAGGCAATGTTGCCACCACATGTACGCCCACCCGCGCGGGGGAAGCCTACGTAAAACCCAGGCTCCAACTGCCAGTCATTTGAAGGGGTATCCATGGAATGGTGGGATTGGAGAAATTTCTGGATGGAGGGTTAGCCATGGATGGATGGATGATTTCGACTTCTTCCGCCGCTGTTACTGAGTTTAGTATTAGTACTCGTACTTTGGTAGTTCATACGGTTTAATGAGTTAGTCATCACTAGATCTAGTGATTGCCTAATTCAGATCTCAGGTGAATTGACCAGGTACTCATAGGACGAGGGGCACAGTCAGGCTCAAGTACTTGTCTGAGTCGAACAACAGAATATTAATAGCTTATGGAAGAGAGGAGGGCAGTGCAGGAGAGTAAGTGTGGGAAAGTTGAACCTCGAACCTTGAATTGTTACGTGGTTGCGTGGCCCTCTGGCTGGTTCTGGTCGAGGGCGGAGAAGCGACCGATGAATGGCCGGGCAGCAATTAAGGTGCCTCCGCATTCGCGTTGCAAGATTAGTACGAGACTACGAGTAATTAAGTTATCTGCCATCACCAGTCAATGCATTAATTTAATTAATCTTCATTTCGCCCTCTGTCTCTCTTTCCAAGTTCTCTCCCCTTCCTCCCCTTTGGCCTTTCTTCCCTTCTCTGTCTGACCTTCTCCAACCTCACCGCTAAGCAGGCAATCCCTTGGGAACTGTTCCCTCACCTGCAACCTGCGTGCAGTCTTATCGGTCGGTCGATTATCAGCCAGTGGCGGCGGCTCTGCTATTTTCGGGCAGGGCGACCGCTTTCAATCAACTTACCTTATTCATTTCCAGGGCCCCTTTTTTCTGCCTTCCACTTTCACTTTCACTTTTTTCGTCACTTGCCCACTTTAGGACATCATACCTTTGGTCCCTCGCCGCCTGCGGAAACCCTGAACGGTTTACAGACTGACCACGCCGTTTCCTACTCATTCCTCATTCCGCTGCTTTTCCTTCCAGACCGATTCCTTTCTCTAGACTGTTTATTATCATCAACATCGCCTTTTGGACTCTACGTCCCGCGCCCGTGTGATCTATTATCTTTCACCGGGGTTGATTCAAGTTGATACTCCACCCCCACAGTCGTTTCTGCTTCGTTTCATCCGTCGCATTGGCCTTCCCAAATCTTCTGTCGCCAAACCACCTTACGGCCGATCTCATATATACATACGCACGACACCACAGGTCGCCTGTACTGTACATACCACACTAATCTTTAAGTCTTGCATATCGATGGTTTCATATGTCGTCTTCCGCCTAAGACGCTGGTCATTTTGAATATCGAAGTCGCTGGATCTAGGCCAAAGCATGAGTCCAGCTGTCGCGACTACCTTGTGTTTCCTAGTCCGCGCAGTACAACCGATTCGTCCCACAATAGCATCTGAATTTCCCGTATCCGATTTGAAATAAGGTGGAGTTTGGCAGGAGAAAGATTAGTGGACAAGCGGGATTGCTGGTCATCGCATTTCCCGGCCATTCGCCATGCCTGAAGATCATGAATCACCAGAATCAAACCACATTCCACGGGAAGCGACATCTGCAGAACAGCCAACGATAACAGGTCAAGGGCGTTCGCCAACCGATGGTCCCACTCCCGCCTCACAGCTCCCCAGAAGCCAATCCCTGCAGATACTCTCCACCCGAACAAATGTGATTCCCAGCCGCTCCTCGATTTCGCCGTCCCGCGCCGTCTCCGACGCAGGTCGGCGACCATCGCAGCAACACCATGTCCGATTCTCGACTGATCTAGAACGCCCTGCGGTGGACGAGGCCCAACGGTCCGATTGGGATCGTCGACCAGCCTCGAGGGGATTGACCATCGACACGAACCTCGCGGAGAATTCAAGCGCCACTTCGCCAATGTCTCCGCGCTCCGCATTGTCCCCTCCGTCCCCGCAGAGTCCCGAATCTGGGGGTCGGTCAAGGTCCCGCCACCGTGGATACTCCCTGCGACGAACAATTTTCGCCAAGAATATCGAGTCGCAGTCGGCCGTCACTTCTCCCGACGCGATCGAGTTAGGTACCACTCTGCCCGTGAGCCCTCAGCAGGCCGAGGCTTCGGCAGATGGCCTTGCTCGGACAGTAACGGCGAACGAAAACAGGCCAGCGCTGGCAGATGAGAAACAGGAGGTGCTGGTCATGCAAAGATCGGCTTCGGATGCCAACCTGGACTTATCCACAACTTACTACTCGGAGCCTTCAGAGAACCTGAAGGATGGCAGACACCTTTCCACAACCTTCGCATACGACCGGTGGCTGAAGCGCAAAGCCGCGATTGCCACGCTCAAGCTTCGTATGGAGACGATGGCTGAGACTCTTCGCAAATCTGTACTCCGTATCAAGGAGATTCCCCCGAGCAAAGACGGACGCCATATCGATCTCAACCCTGCCCGCACAGAAACGTTGGTGGATGAGAGAACAGGAAAGCCTTATTTAGGAAACTCCATCCGTTCCAGCCGCTACAGCTTCTGGAGCTTCTTTCCCCGCCAACTATTCGCCCAATTCACCAAGCTTGCGAATTTCTACTTCCTGATAGTCGCCATTCTGCAAATGATCCCTGGGCTGAGTACCACTGGTACCTACACCACGATTGTTCCGCTGCTTATCTTCGTCGGTATCTCTATGGGTAAAGAAGGGTTTGATGACTGGCGCCGTTATCGCCTGGACAAGGAAGAGAACAATCGGAATGCCCTTGTCTTGCGTCCAAATGCCGGATTTTTCCATCCGGCTGCTGCCCACGACAGCATCTCCGTGAACAGTGATGTGCAAGGTTGGACGTTGATCAAGTGGAAGGATATCCAAGTGGGCGATGTGATCAAATTGGAGCGTGACCAGCCTGTGCCGGCGGATATGGTTCTGCTCCATGCGGACGGGCCGAACGGCGTTGCTTATATCGAAACAATGGCTCTGGATGGCGAGACGAACCTGAAGAACAAGCAGCCTTTGCAGCCGGTAGCAAAGATATGTGGTTCTGTCGAGGGTATCTGCAGCAGCGCTCTACATTTTGCGGTCGAGGATCCCAACCTTGACCTCTATAAGTTCGATGGCAATGTCACGGTCGCCACGGATGAGAAATTGCCATTGACCAACACCGAAGTTCTCTACCGCGGTAGCATAATGCGCAACACCGAAAGGGCGATCGGCATGGTCATTTACACAGGGGAGGAGTGTAAAATTCGCATGAACGCGAACAAGAACCCTCGGATCAAGTCTCCATCGCTGCAGGCAAAAGTCAATCGGGTGGTCATGTTGATCGTGACGCTCGTTGTAATTCTGGCTGTAGCGTGCACAATTGCTTACAAGTATTGGTCCGAAGACGTTGAATCGAAGTCATGGTACCTTTATAAGGCGAGCGTGGACATTGGACCTATCTTCACCTCCTTCCTTATCATGTTCAACACGATGATTCCTATCTCATTATACGTGAGTATGGAAATCGTCAAAGTTGCTCAGATGCTTCTTTTGAATGCCGACATCGACATGTATGATCCGGAAACAGACACCCCCGTTGAAGCACGCACATCGACCATCAACGAAGAGCTGGGTCAAGTCAGTTACATCTTCTCTGACAAGACGGGTACGTTGACGAACAACTCGATGCGCTTTCGCAAGATGAGTGTGGCTGGCACCGCGTGGTATCATGACCTTGACCTCCTTCAAGAAGCAGCAAAGGACGGTGATCATACCAAACTGATCCACAAAAAGCGGAGTGCCAAAGGGAAGAAGGCACTCAGTCGCAAGTCCAATGTTTCCGAGGCTAGAAGACATCCGCCAAGATCCTCTATGTCAACAGCGACCGGGCTTCAGGGACTTGGTATCTCTATGCGTAATCACCGGACCACAGATATGCTTCGATATATCCAGCGCAAGCCTTATACGGTCTTTGCGCGGAAGGCTAAGATGTTTATACTGGCCATAGCGCTGTGCCATACATGTATCCCCGAGGATGACGACGAGGGGAACGTCTCCTTCCAAGCGGCCTCTCCTGATGAGCTAGCTCTGGTCATGGCTGCACAGGAGCTTGGATACCTTGTCCGTGACCGACAACCAAATACTCTAACAATCCGCACATACCCCAACGGCCTCGACGGGCCCGCCTGTGACGAGGTTTATGAGATCATGGATATTATCGAATTTTCCAGCGCCCGAAAACGCATGTCGGTTGTGGTTCGGATGCCTGACCAACGCATCTGCTTGTTTTGCAAAGGAGCCGATAGCCATGTCATGCGCTTGCTCAAGCGTGCCGCCCTCGCGCAAGAGAAGGCAGTGGAGATTGAGAGGCGTGCCAGCAAGCGTAAGGCAGCCGAGGCTGATCAGGTTATACGGCGCAATAGCGAATACCACAGCCGCAAGGATAGCGGTCTGCGGACCAGCCTCAGCCGGCCGAGCATGTCGAGACGACGGTCAAGCGTTACTGGAGAACCTGTTTCGGCGCTGCGGGAGAGTATTGATGTTTGGCTCCGGGACCGGGAAACTGACGGTGGGCTCCTGACGCGTGGCAACGATCGCGAGTACTATAGCCCCCGGCCATCTGCCCAGTTGGGACGAGCATCTAGTACTTTATCGGATTCGGGAAGTTCCGTGCATGATAATGAGGAAGAAGACTTGGTTGAGGAAGCTCTGGTTGTGAACGAGACGGCTGTCTTCGAAAGATGTTTCCAGCATCTCAACGACTTTGCTACCGAAGGACTTCGGACGCTTCTGTATGGTCACCGGTTTCTTGACGAAGATACGTACACGAGCTGGAAAAAGGCTTACCTTGAAGCCTGTACCAGCCTTGTTGACCGTCAGGAGAAGATCGAGATGGTGGGCGAGCAGATCGAGGATCAACTTGAGCTTACAGGCGCTACAGCCATTGAAGATAAGCTTCAGAAGGGTGTTCCCGGGGCCATCGACAAACTGCGTCGAGCCAACATCAAGTTGTGGATGCTTACTGGTGACAAACGTGAGACGGCGATCAATGTTGGACACTCATGTCGCCTTGTGAAAGACTATTCCTCCCTGGTGATCCTTGACCACGAGACGGGGGAGGTCGAACGTTCGATTGTCAAATTCACCGCTGACATCACCAAAGGCACCGTGGCTCACTCAGTGGTGGTCGTGGATGGGCAGACCCTCTCCATGATTGAAGCCGACAAGACCCTGGAAGCGCAGTTCTTCCGACTGGCCATCATTGTGGATTCAGTGATCTGTTGCCGTGCCAGCCCCAAGCAAAAGGCATTCTTGGTCAAGTCGATTCGGAAGCAAGTGAAAGACAGCGTGACGCTGGCCATCGGCGACGGTGCTAATGACATCGCCATGATCCAGGAAGCCCATGTTGGCATTGGCATCACTGGCAAGGAAGGGCTCCAGGCCGCTCGCATATCCGACTACTCGATCGCGCAGTTCCGGTTCCTCCTCAAGCTCCTCCTCGTCCACGGCCGTTGGAACTATATCCGCGTGTGCAAGTACACCCTGGGCACTTTCTGGAAGGAAATGCTCTTCTATCTCACGCAAGCTCTCTATCAACGCTGGAACGGCTATACAGGTACTAGTCTTTACGAGTCCTGGAGTCTGAGCATGTTCAATACACTCTTCACGTCCCTTGCAGTCATCTTCTTAGGCATCTTCACCAAGGATCTTTCTGCCTCCACCCTCCTCGCCGTGCCCGAGCTCTACACCAAAGGCCAAAGCCATGGAGGGTTCAACATTCGATTATACGTTGGCTGGACTTTCATGGCCACCTGTGAAGCCATGATCATTTACTTCCTTATGTTCAGTCTCTTCGAGAACGTCATGTTTACTCGTACTGGAAGCGACATCTTCTCCGCCGGTCTCCTCACCTTTACCGCCTGCGTCATCGTCATCAATACGAAACTACAAGCTCTTGAGGTACACAACAAAACCTACATGTCTCTAGCGGTCTGGATCATTTCCGTCGGCGGTTGGTTCTTGTGGAACCTGATCCTTGACCTCCGCTACAACCCCTCCTCCGGCGACGGCATCTACCATGTTCTAGGAAACTTCGTCCACGTTTCGGGCCACGACCTAGCTTTCTGGGCCGTATTGCTCGTGACGGTCGTGAGCGTGGTGGCCTTCGAAATGACCGTCTCCGCCCTGCGGGCCCTGTTCTTCCCCACGGACGTCGACGTCTTCCAGGAGTACGAGCAGGACCTGGACATCCGCATGCGGTTTGAGGAAGCAGCGGCCTCCGAACTCCAGCAGGGCTGGGACCACGGCAAGAAGAAATCCAGCTTCGAACTCGCGCGCGAGGAGGCGGAGATGGAAGCCAAGGAGCGCCAGGTTCGGGAGCTGCTGGCTCGCCCACGCGTCATGGTCTCGCCCACCGCCGCAGCGAAGACCGAGGATGGTGATGGTCCGGTCGCGACCGAGCTGGAGCTGAAAGAAGGCGACGACCCGCATCATCCCCACCAGAGCGATGATGGACCAGACGATCACGACGTGGAGAACCACCCCGAGGGCACGAAGACCCCGCGCCGCTCGGTCGAGATCCACGAATTGTTCTCCAAGGGCTACGGGGCCATCCGCAAGGGCCAGTTGAAGTAACTAACGACGAATTTATCCGAACTCCACCACTCGAAAAAAATAAAAGAAAACCCAAACGCAAACGAAATGCCTTCCATCATGTTTTCCCTTTATTTCTGCTTTCCCAGCGTGTGTCATCATCATCATCATCATCATCATGGCGTTTTGCAAGAAATGGATACCCCCCCCCACACCTCACTCGGCCTTTGCTTGTTGGTTTTCAATCCACTTCCTGTCACTGATGTTCTTGATTCGTTTGCTCTGTGCATACAATACCTTCTCTCGCGCCGTCGTGCTGACTCACATACACTACACCATCTGTAAAGCATTGGCGATTGCAGGATCTCTTCCGGGGTGTGTCTGACATAGAGACTACCCTATTCTGTGAATAAACGCAGACTCAAGTACACATAAGTCTTCCTCATTCTCTTCCATCACCTTTGTTTGGTAATTCGACTGATCGAACTGCTATGTATGTGATGGTGATAGTAGTACGAATGGTATCAGTGCACAGCTGCCTTCGAATATTCAGTGGGACTCGTGCTATATCATTCCTATAGTGTAAAAAAGTTTGAAGTTTGAAGCCACAGCTGAGTACTGCATAGAGTGATGGACAAAGGTAGGACATGAGCATTTAAGTCTGGAACTTTGTAACGATATAAAGGCAAAAAGAGTAAAAAAGAAAAAAAAAGGAGTCGCTGGACGCAATTGTTAACATACAGGCAGTGGTATCTCAATCGATAATGATTAGTAGGTAAAAACAGCAGTCACTCAGTTCGGCAGTCGGCATACGCAGTATAAGAAAGCCCCATGGCATTCCTTTCGCACTGCTCAGCGCGGGGCGCAGTGTGAAGACGAGCAGAGTCGCAGGTTCAGAAGTAGACGGTATAGTGAACACGGAGTGATTCGCACAGACAGTCGTGGTGGTGGTGGTGGTGGTGCACATCTCCAGAGTGGTGGACGGGGGGTTGCGAGTAAGGCCGGGCGGGGGCTTCCAGAACAGTGCCGGGAACTCGCAATCGCTGAGGCGGCTTTCCCGTTCACTACCAAGGCCGGCCCCTTCCTTGAAGTAGATTGCTAGCGAGCAAGTGATCCTGTTCAGCAGGGTCCCTCTCTTCTTAATCGTAGAACCACATCAATCATCCTTGCAGCTCGTACATCTGCGTCCCCTCTTGCACAGGCTGCTTCTTCGCCGGGGCCGGTAATTCGTACAGCGGCGATCCCGCCACCTCACTCGTCTCCTGCGTGGGGACGGGAGCCCTCTGCCTCTTCTTTCGCCGACGGAGGAAGAAGAATGCCAGTGCCCCGATCACGGCGGCGGCACCGACACCCACGCCGACGCCGACGCCAATGCCGACGCTACTTGAGCTGGAGCTGGAGCTGTGCGAGGAAGCGGAGGAAGAAGTGATCGAGGTCGCGACACCGGTGGACTGTGCGGAGCCAGTCGAGGTCGCGGTGGTGGATGAGGTGGTGGCTGTCGTCGTCGCGGTGCCCTTTTCGCGCACGTAGAAGTAATCACTCCAGCTGATCCAGCCATACAAATCGATCCCGTAGGTACCTAACTTGGCGGTGGCGTTGAACAGTCCGATCTGGTATTGGGGGTTGGTGGTGTTGAAATCGCTGGGGATAGCCCATGTGTATTGTTCCAGGGTGCAGTTGGCGGTCTCATTGACGACGAGTTGGTACAGCGAGCTGGTGGTGGTGAACTTCGCGCCCACTAGTTATTACGTCCAGAGATGCGGTCAGCCCGTGGATTGTAGGCAAGAAGACCCTTGTTCAGGACAACATAAGAACTAACCCGTGATTTCGTCGATGAGGGTGCCTCCGGCGCGGCCCAGGGAGATGTTGAGTGGAGTATCTCCATTGTCGATCGCGCCCCATCGGAGCTGAAGGATGTCACCCGGATTGACCTCCTTATTCTCGAGCCCGTAGAACGTCCCAGGGACGCAGTCCGTATACCCTTGGGTCGACATGGTCAGAGAATGGAGCAAGAGAGGCTCACGGAGAAGCCTTTTCGCTGGAAGATCAGGGTTGGGACACTGAAGAACATGGCCTGGGGTCCATGGTCCAAACGGCAGGAACAGACTTCTTTACTTAGGGCAGCAGACCCATCACCAGGACGTGCCCGTCAATAGCGGTCTCATAATATAGGGCCGTATCCGGCCGGAACAGCCTTCAACTACGGTCGCTAGCTCGTACGCAGTGCGGTGGCATTGCAACGGACCGCAAATCAGCGCCTCGTATGCCTCCCCAGTTGGCGATCCTTCATCTAAGTTGAGAATCCTTTCGCTCCGTTACCAGCAGCCTTGGTGTGGCAATTGGGTGATCGGACTGCATTGTGGACGGGAAAACGTGTAGGCAGAAGGGAACGCGTGCACCGAGTTTATCGGGGTGGTTTCAGCCTGAGCAGGGACCCTGTGCAGGAAGCTAGAGGAGGAACTGGACATAGCAAATTGCTGTCGTAGTGGTTGACATGGTACGGAGTATTGTATGTAGGCTTTCTTCAGTCAATCGGTTCAGGGGAGGCTCCGCCTCTGCGGGTGGGACCAGGGATTGGGGGCCAAATCATGGTTGGAACAATGGAAACCGCCCTGGGTTCTGGTTCTAGTCCGAGGTCTCCATATTAACAGTCGCTTCCCACCAATGGTCAACCAGCCTGCCAAGCAGGATGTATGCCTTGGGCTGTTATATGGACAGACTCCCGGTCGCAATAATTATCGTTATTATCGCTGTCTGATCTTCCCTCTTCTGCGTTCTGCGTCGAGGGCCATGCCGTTATACACCCTCCTCGATCGTCCGACCGACCAACTCAACTCCCCCACCTCCTGAAAAAAAGCAATGAGTGTTATAACCTCACAAGAATCCTAAAAATGCCGGCGTCTCGAATGCAACTGCGGCGGCAGAATGCATTTATTGCTTTGAGCCTCGTGGCTCTCTGCGTCTGGTTCTTCACCTCGCATCGATCGCGGAGCGGCGAACTGATTCACAGCCATGAGCAATTCTGGCGAGATTTCCATCCGCTTCTCGTGGATCTTGCGCCGGATTGTCTGTCCCCAATCCGCCTGGGAAATGCTGAATCTGCTGGCTTCGATCCGAAAAGCACCGAACCGCTGCCTGACTTATTGAGGATGCCAGCCGAGGACATTGCGAAGATGAAACAAGCACACACGGCGTTCGCAAATGCGATCGAGAGAGCCCCTCCCAAACTCCATTACCAGCCACACACGCGCGGACTGGTATCGACCGCCGGCGGTCCTTATCTTCCAGTTCTGGTGATTTCGCTGCGCATGCTGCGACGGACGGGCTCGACTCTGCCGATGGAGGTCTTCCTCGCCGACTGGGAGGAATATGATGGCTATCTTTGCCAGGTGGTCCTTCCCTCGCTGAACGCACATTGCGTCGTCCTGTCGGAGATCCTGGAAGCGGTGCCCGACAGCACGAACAAGATCGAGAAATACCAGTACAAGATCTTTGCAATGCTTTTCTCCTCGTTCGAGGAGATCCTCTTCCTCGATGCAGATGCCTTTCCCCTGCAAAGGCCCGAGGAGCTGTTCACCGCCGACCCGTTCAAGTCCAAAGGCCTGGTCACCTGGCCCGATTTCTGGCGTCCCACAACATCGCCTCTGTACTATACGATCTCATCGCCGAAAGAGAGCGGAACGCAATCATCCAATCCGACCGCTCTGCGGCAGTCGACCGAGTCCGGGGAAGTACTCGTGTCCAAGCGCACTCACCTTCGCACCCTTTTGTTAGCTGCATACTACAACTTCCATGGCCCCAGCCATTATTACCCGCTTCTCTCGCAGGGCGCAGCCGGTGAAGGGGACAAGGAAACGTTCCTTGCCGCCGCCAGCGCCCTCGACGAACCTTTTTATCAGGTCAGCGAACCCATTCGGGCGGTTGGGCGCCGGACGCCGGACGAGTTTGCTGGGTCAACCATGGTTCAGTACAGTCCGATGGAGGACTATGCCCTGACGAAGAAGGGCATTTGGCGAGTCAAGGGCGCAACTGCGCCCACGCCCAGTCCATTTTTCGTCCATGTCAACTATCCCAAGTTCAACCCTGCCACGATCTTCGCGGAGAACGGCGTGACCAACCCGGTGATCGATGAGAGAGGTCAGTATACGCTGGCGTGGACGGCGCCAGAAGAAGTGGTCGCCTCGTTCGGCCACAACGCTCAGCAGCGGTTCTGGGAAGATATCCATTGGACGGCCTGCGTGCTTGAGGGTAAGATCCTCAGCTGGAAGGGCAAGACGGGGATCTGCCAGCAGACTAGGGACTACTGGAATAGTGTTTTTGGGAATTCTGCTGGGAAGATGATGAATCAGTCGTAAGCGAGAAGAGAAGATTCGATTGATAGCCCCTGTGCTGGTCGCATGTGCTATTGCCCTTACGTGAGTGAGCGATGTGTTATTCTAGCGTTGTGTTATTATGAGGACGTTGGTTTGCGGGGAACATCATACAAGTCCCTGTCAGCAGGAAATCGGTTTGCGGGAGGATTCGTCACGGAAGATATCTCGGAGGAATTGTCTATCTGTCATATTTGTTGCAGACAACCATTTCGCAGCCTCGTCTGCTCAAGCATACTACACGGTAAAGGAAGGCTGGAATCAGAACAGGGCTCTTGGCTTGTCGACCATGCCGAAATCCTGCCTTGGATGGTGATTCCGCAGGACGTGATCCGGCATAAGCAGGATACCTAAGCAGGTGTGGCCATACTAGGTAGGCGCTGTAGACAACTGGAACTTGGAGTTCAACCGTGACCGTGAATTGAAACCGCACTCAGAGCGAAACCTCTGCTCAATCAAGCGTGATCCATGAATGTGCTATATCCACGGGCATGCTTTCCATCAATCGGTCGCATTTGACCTGTCAGGGCTTTCCAGATTTGTGAGGATGGGAAGCAATAAGTCTCCGATATCTGCAGCTCACAGAGTAAGACTTTGGAGGGGGTTCCATCCTGATGGTGATGTTGTCGATACTGAGGCTCGCGTGTGGAGAGTCTGGCTGTCCGGCAAGGTTTGGATCGTCCATCCCTTGTTCACTTTCAAGTTTGCATTGGTTTGATTTGGTTATGTTTGGAGATGACAAGTCCATGTCGTGCCTTCTGTTTTCATTCTTATTGCGACCCATGATATATATATCATTTGAAGAATTTGTCGGCCGTAGTAAACGATTCATTTGCTAGTTATATGATAGACCTGATGGTTAAGTTACAGTACAACCGAGCTCTCAGAAGTATACAATCCCAGCCGCCACCGCGAACTGTGCAAGTCAAGTAACAAAGCTGGTTTTTCCCCTCCCCTTTTATTCGAAGTGGCCTCAGGTGGAGGGGAGGTAGGCACACAAGACGCAAGTCAACAGTAAAGCAAGTGAGCTACCGTCCTGCCCGAGGTACAGTACAGTACGTAGTAGGCTACCACCACCCTTGGCTGTTGTCCCCTCCCTGAATGGAGATGCACCCCTAAGCGAGAAAAGCTTCTTGTCGGCAGTATTTCGCTAGCTTCATATCTCTAGTCCCCCCTTAGAGCCGAGTCAGTTTTTATCCACCCTGCCCTTTTGCTTGCTAAGCGACGAACATCAAGTTGGCAGTCTTGGCAAAATTGCATGCATTTGTCATCAAGCACTGGTTTATGTAGCTATCGCTACGGTGAAGTGTGGGAGAATAGATGATTCGTGTGGACGAAAGCTATAAATATTCTCTGTTTTTGATGAGTGCGTACAGTACTTCGTAAGGGAACGACGATCCCTCAGAGCAAGTACCAGGTGGGCTCGGGGACTATTGATCGTGGTGCGTATTGTTGTTCGTGACTATTGCTGTTTCTATTTCTATATTGTACTGCACGTCATATGTTTTTGGTTTTGTCTCGAAGGCATGAACTGGAAATGGGATTGGAAAAAGACCACTAAGCATGCATGCTGTCTGCTGGAAAGAGGGGTTCTCTCTCTGGATGCTTCAGAGGTCCGTTGCCAAGATGATAGACATGCCCTGAGCGCGGGCTGCAGGGGGAGTTCACCATAATTAGGACAGTTCTCCATAGATTACTCCGTACCGGGACGAAAGGTCAAGATACGTGACTCGTAGACCATGCGGGGTGAGATTCCACCGACTCAAGCGAACGTCCTGATGAAGTTGTTTGTTTGCTGGTGACATGGGGGATTGGGCGACCTCATGCTCCGTGCGCTAGGCTCCAGGCACTGCAGCAAAAGTGTTTGGGCCTGGCGATGGCGAGATGAATGGATTGGACAGGAGAAGAGGGAAGACTCGGCGATGAAACCCGAATCTGAACGGACCGGTAACTGCCAGATCATGGCGTGCAGACACTATTGAGCACCAAATGGGGCAGATCGTGTCGAGAACAGCAAGGGTGAGAGGGGTCGTTCACAACTTACGGTTCACCAGAGCTAGCTTCAACTTCCACCGGAGTACACCGAACTACATCGTACCGACTGAGTGGATCAGAATGCGAGCATGGGCTTGCACGTTGAAGTTTGCAACCTTTATTTGATACGGTGTGTATGATTGGCAATGGAGTAGGGACGGGTCAAGGCACACGATATGATGACTTGAATTCATCAGAGGCATGAATCGGGGGATACTGGCACTGGAGGTTGCGACGGTTACCCCTAATTGACATTGACCTGAACGAGGATAGGATCAGGAAAAGAAAATTCCCCCGGTGGTCAGTGGTCAGTGGTCAGTGGCTAATGATCGATGCCTATCCCTGCTGCTTGCTTACTAGGATGATGCAGTCAGGATCTCGTTAGCGCCGGCGACGGGCAAGTTCTCGACCTCCCCCTTCGGATGACTGATCCATCCTGATCCATGGGTGACTTGCCCCGACGGGTAAGGTGCGGGTGTGCCTGGCGCTCGCTGGTGGCTGAGTTGACCTGGTCCAATAGGCTGCCACCGGAGGAGGGCACGGATCATCTGCACGCCCCGTCCATCCTTTCTCTTTCCCCCATTCTGTCCAAATGTGGTTTAGCTCACGTGGTACAGCAGGGAAAAACTCAGGTAAGGTACGGAGGTCCTGCCCCTAGTATTATCTGCTGCAACTCGGAGGTCGGAGCAGAGTTGTGTACCTGCGTCTGCTATCTGCAGGACGACCATCAACAGGGAAACAAAACAGAGAAGAAGAAGAAGAAGAAGAAGAAGAAGAAGAAGAAGAAGAAGAATAATAATGTATGTCGCAGGTTGCGCTCCGCGGACATCCTGTCGATCATGGGATTATTTCCCCGTATTATCGTGGATGTTTTTGGGCGCAGCATGTTCTCGATCGCAACTCATGTTCGTGGCTAGTCGCCTTGGTTTAATTGGATTTAATATATTTCTCATGATCGTTTGGGAGGATGGAACCCAGATGGAAAGACAAAACGGCCAGACCAACAACCGATTGAAACCGTCCCAAGACCCAACTCCTATGAGTAAGACCCAAAACAGCGAGGGGGGAGCCAGCCTGCAGCACGAGTATCGAACTGGAACCTACCGTACATCGGCGTTTTCTCCACCCGAAGCTAGCGCTGTCATGTGTGAAGGTCCAATCATCCACAATGAAAAGGTGGGCAGAAAACTTGCCGCCGGCACGGGCGGAGACCAACCCAACTGGAAGACAGGTCGCCGAGCTCGGTCGTGTAAAAGGCACACTGGGCACCTACTAGGTACGTAGTTGACCTACCCATAGGTAATTCGGTATTAATAGAATCGTCGGCAGCACGGCTGTCTCTGAAAGACTTTGTGAAGCGAACAACCACTCATGCACCAAGAGTATAGTTATTGTAGTATCAGGGAGGATGACCTGATTTTCATCGACGACACTGGAAGGGGTGGATAGGAGCCTGGGCACTGATGGCATCGGGGCATCGTCACTCCAGCGAATGGAGTTACCCTGGTTAGCGAGCTGTAACTGACTATCAACTAGTTAAGTAACTCCGTTCCGAGGGTTACTAAAGATTTTCTCGGTTCTCCCCTGATCCAGATATTCACCGCCCACGGTTTCGGTGGTCGAGCTCCACGCTGGCAGAGGCCAGTCCCTGTGTGACGCTGCGGCTGGGATGGAAGGGAAGAATCGATCGAAGGAAGGAACCATGTCCATGCACCGGCCAGACTTCCGCAGACCAGACCAGAAAGACTCGTCAGTCACGCCGTTCGATTGTTGTTAGTAATTGATCTGTAGACTCTTTCTTGCTTGGCCTCGTCACTGTTTCTTGTTTCCCTCCACCGCGCCCGGGATACTCCATCGCGAAAGAACGCTCTTGATTCGGCAAACTCGCGACAATGCTCCACTACCCGGAACCCTTGGGGGGGGGGGGGAGCTTGTCGACACCGGGCGCTTCTGCAATGCCCGCCCGGTCGCTGGAACGGTCCAGCTCACGTTGCTGCTTCGGATCCAGAGAGGACCCTACGTCAGTAGTGGACTCGACCGGACCATGTTCTGATGACGGGAATGCACTCGCTCGGTGCAGCTGCTACCAGAAGCAGGGACTTCCGGACGTTGGGGGAGCAGCGCATCACCCAGCACTATTTATGGAGGACGATATGTAGTCAAATCTGTACCGTTCAGACCACCGGACCCAGAAAAAGGACTGGCTGAGCCAATGGGAACTTCTTCCAGCCACAGGTGCCTTGCTTGACAGCAGCAGCAGCAGCAGCAGCAGTGGTAGATGCTGGCTGGTGGTGGACGGAGGATGTTCCGAGATGGACCTTACTTCGCCTCGAAGCATCTGGTACGAGGAAGACTGAAGTTCAAAGTCGAGTGCAGTGGTGCCCAGTGAGGACATACGCCGGCCGGGATGGGAGAAGCGTCTTTTTCTGATTGGTGGAGACATCGATTGCACAGGATGAAGAACGATCGGGCATCCAGTTGCAGATGGTGCAAAATGCAACCAGATGCAGGGGCTAAAACAAGGCGGTGGGCATTGGTTCTGTAACAACCTGGTCTTGCTTCAGGAAACGCCATGTGAACGTCTGTAACGTCCCCAATGTTTTACCGGCCGGCAGCGGCACAAGGCAACGGAGAACTGGAATCAGTATTATGATACAAGGCAGGACCAGAGTCATAGGGATGAAAGGATAAATAAGGCTGATCAATACCAGCATCCATGATGTCCATAACAGACTTATGCTATGATCGAGATAGTATTGGTTTCTACAGAACACTTTGACGGTCGATAAGAAATCCCCTGAACCGCTGACTATCAGTGACCAACCACCTTACTACTGTCACTGCTGCTCGCCTCTCCGACGTGGCTCTCCGAAAGATACTGGTATTCTTGTATAGCCAACCTTGAAGGGAGAGATTCAAACCAAACCATAAAAGGGAGTGTCGGGGGGGATACTACACAACCCAACTGCGAAAAGGCAACTAAAGGAAACAGAAACAAAAGAGAGAGGGGAAAAAAAAAACAAAACAAAAAAAGGGAAAGTCGGAAAAAGAAAAGAAAGCAGAAGAAAAAAAAGACAGAGAGAGAAAAAAAAGAAAAGTAAAGTAAAGAGAAGGGGAAGAAAAGGCCAGCCCCACGGAGACAGTCAGGAACAGCCGGTGCCAAAACAGCCCAGCGCCAACTACTGACTCGCTAACCGTTTCGGGAATTCCCCCATCCCATCCATCCATCATCTCCTGACTGACTGTCGCCCTCAACCCGCCCGCCCAGCCCGTTCTCCTCTCCTCTCCTCTCCTCTCTTCCTACCCTACTTACTTACTTACTCCTACTCCTTCTCTTCTTCTTCTACTTTCTTTCTCTTCTTCTCTTCCTTACCGGCCATCTTCATTCCCTTCCCTTCTTTTTCCTCCCCCC